AGCATCCTCAGAAGCCGTCCATTTTCCACTGGAAGTCTGCAGGAGGGTGGAGGACCAAGAAGGACAGACTGACCCCAGACCAGTTCCTCGTGGATCGGAGCATCTGGAACACATTGCGTAATTTTAAGAAACCAGGCCTGAGAGTTGGAAAAACAAACAACGCGTGACGTGCTGATGGGTGGAGCCCCGCATATCGCTTCTTTATGCTTGTAGGAAAAGGTGAAAACAAAGTGAAGGGCTCTTTCTGCTGTCTGCGCTGGAAAGGTCCTCCATCTGTTTAACTTCCATTAAGTTAAGAGAACAGACTGGATTCGATTGCCAACACAGGCAGAGCCTTTGAAGCCCAATGGCTGTTTGCATTCTCATGTGGATTTCGGTCTTTGATTTATTTCGAAGGAGTTATGAAAACAGAAACTGTGGACTGTTATGTAACCGTAACTGGAAACACGACTGAAGCCACCCCTCCCCCCCCCCCCACACACACACACACACACAGTTCAGCCCTTCGCAGTGATTGAAACCCCTCTTTCCATTTGCATCCAGTGTTTATCTCACATTCAGCAGGACGCAGTGGATGCCCTAATCACTCGATGTGTTTGAATGGGTAGAGCAGAAAACCAGAGGTACATATAAATTGGTCTTGCAGATACGCATGCGAACCATTCTCTGTACGGAAATAAACTTCACAGTTTGCCATGTGAAATATGTCCCAGATGTCTGCCGGCTTCAGGGAGCCCCAGCTGTATGTGGAAAAGAGCATCGTTCGTGTGGCTGAAGAATAGAGCCGTTTTGCTATCATTCAACACTTCAGTGTCACGTGTTTGCCATGTGACTTTATTGGGGGGGGAGTGGGGTGGCAGGGAGTTGGGAGGAGCGTCAGTGCTAACAGAGGCCTGCTTTGTGTCTTCAATACTCACCTTTCTTCTTTTGCCGTTCCATACTGTCACCCTTTATTCCAGAAACTCTGGGAATCAATGGCTGTTGCCTCAGTCAGGATGCTGGCAAACTCTCACTCCACCGCAGGCATGTGTGAAACAGGACCAGGGCCGGAAGCCGTCGCTGTATTAATGGTGTTTGTTCAGGGCCAAGGAAGGGGTCCAGCTCTGGGCACGAGAAGCTACACTTGTAATAACAATATTATATACATGTGTGTGCTCCTTTCTCAAGGCAGCCCGTTTGCAGAAGGTCTAGACATTACCTCATTTCCCAAGATGCTAAGAACACTAGGCCTCAACGGAGCCTAGAAGGCCTCAGCGGCTTCGGTTCCCATGAGCACAGGTTCATCGATACTCGACCGCAGGCCCATGACTCATCTGGTGGTTGCGCAAATATTTGTAGCTCAAGGTACAGCTTCCGCATTATATGGAGAATAGGCTGCATGAGCAATTCTCCACTTATGCCTGGACCCTGCTTTCTATGACCATAATGCACCTGGGCAGCCCCAGCTGGGGCAGACACTGCAGCTAATGAGGTTTTTTGCTCAGGCTGGGGTTTATGTATCTTTGCTTTTTACTTATGAACTCGAAAGTACAAAAGTTTTTCCTCCCCTCAGATTTAATCCTTAAGTTTTTTTTTTTTATCCTTCTGCCATTAGAAAGGTTATTCTGGGAACTTTGTGATGAGACAAACAGATACTTAAATACAAGGACTAACAGGGGGTAACAAGCACCAGGCGTGCAAGACGTAGCAGAACCCTTCCCCGATGGACGAACAGGGGAGGGAACCGATGGGACCAGACACCAAGGCGGACGCACAGGGCCAGTCCCAGAAGGGACACCGGGCTGGACAGAGCACAGCTGGACTGACAGGGTGCATGGGGAAGACAGCACACAAGACCCAACAGACAGAACCACCGGACAGGACAGGATGTACCGGACCATGAGGGATCATAAGAGCGGGAATTGGCAACCAGGAAGGGCACAGGCAACAGGAAGGTTTGACGTCAATGACCAGACTGGGGCTGGCAAGCCAAACAGATACTTAAATACAAGGACTAACAGGGGATAACAAGCACCAGGTGTGGCTCATCAGGGTCATGTTAGGGAGGGGGTAGGAGGGTCAGGTGTGCAGGACATGACACATGTTTAGCTGCTTTATTATTTGTTGTTTTATGAACCAATGAACCAGCACAACCTTGAGAAGATGACGTGCATGAAAACAGCCAGACGGGGGCACTCTTTTTGGCATTGCCAGCTGGGTAATCTCCCAGTAAATCCTATTCAATGGGGATGAGACCTGACCTCACAGGTGTCTGCAGGTGATTGGTCCAGGAGGGAGGTCAAGGTTCAATGTTCCACACATTAATGAGATTGTGGAACATGGAATTTATGAATATGGCAAAAAAAAACAAAAAGAGAAAACTGGCATCATCTGTGATTAGGTCAGCTATTCGGGGTCTTCTGTAAATCAAAGACCATCACAAGCAGGCAAGGGTTCTGAGACAAACTCTCTGAGTTCATTAAATCTGGAAATACTGCCCCACAATTACCCCAAGATTAGTGCCAACTACAACAAGGCCATCTATTGTGCTGGACGGAGGGAGTAATCCGTTTTTCCTCACTCAAGTAAATATTTAATTTCATGGATAACTAATTGGATAAGTTTTTGTACTCACGCTAACCAATGCACTTCCCAGAGGTGATGGGTGAAATGGCTGACCCGTTACCATGGCAACGTGACAGTAACTGGAAAAAATATTTATTCTCCATAAAAGCCCTGCAAGGACATCCATCCACCGCGTCTTTATGTAGCTAAAGCAGCAGATACCTCAACAGTAACAAATGTGGACACTGATAGACTCCAGGTTCACGCCTAGACAGACAAACAACACTCACCATAATATCAAATTTTTTATTTGGTAACTGTGTGCAATAAGGTAAACTATGGATATATGTACGGCATTATGTATAAAACAGTCTGAATGACTGATTATAGATCGCATGCCAGTCACATGGTACTGACCATTCAGTGACCTTTACCCCATACTCTCTCCCTGTATTAATGTGCAGAAGGCTTGTGTTTTTTTGCAATCTTTCATAAAACATCTCAGTGTTCACTTTGGTCTAATCTGGTTTAAGCATCATTCCGAGTCAGCTGGGTTCAAAATGCCGCAAAATAGCCGCCCAAGCGAGATACCACACCTGGCAATTAGCGAAATGCCAAGAGGCTCAATGATAGGCTTCGGGAGAAGACAGGGCAGAACACAAACATCAAAACAGACAGGAACATTCTGTCCTGGCAGCATGATTTTACAGCCAGAGTTCACGCAATGTCAGCAGAACAAGGCGCTTAAATTCACACGCCACCATGAACAAACCATAACACGATATTTACCCTCACCCAACCAAACAAATACAGCTAGATTATTAACACGGTATTCGACCCTCCACAACCAGATAAACAGATCTGCATTTGCTATTAACATGATATTTAATCTTATCTAACCAGACCAACTGATCTAGTTGTTATTAACATGATCTTTATGCGTATGATCTCCAAAAGTGATGTCTTACCAAGAGTGTATTTGCTTTTAAAGTTTAATCGGAGGAAGGATGACAATAACACTGCTGATTAATATGAGAGTCCGCATTGGCCCCTGACTGAAGATGGCTGAGGGAGTAGGGCTGGGCTGTGCCGGCCCAGAGCTGAAACTGGACCACACATGGTGCTTGCACACGACCCGATGTCCAGAGTGTGAATCTGGCGGTTTGGGTAGTGGGCGTGGCTTTGAACAAGCCTACTGTCAATGCTTGTAATTTACCTTGCTGGCAGAACAGAGCCTTCTGGAAGCAGGTTACATCTTCAAGTGACTATAAATGATATGTGAGAAATTCTTCTGGCTTTGCTTGTACTGATTACCCTCCCCAAACACACACACACACACACACACACACACACAAACACACTCATACAGAATCAACACCCCACGCTGAGGCAACTTTCAGACACAAAATGTACAGCAGGTTTGGTGATGACACATCCGCTAGCATATGGAGTCTTTAAAGGGAATTTCCTAGGAAAACTGAAAGCATACTTCACAAGATCTTACAGCGCAAAGCAGGAGTACATTTTTTAAGTCATGGAAATTTATGTTGCAACAATTATAATATTCATCAGGAAATGAAGCGTTTTCTCAGTGAGTCAAAGCAGGATTAAAAGAAGATGATTCAGTGTATTTAGGAGAAACGCTATAACCAGAAAGAAGAAAACCAAAAGGAGGAGACAGATCTCATGGCTGTAACGTGGAGTGTATGTGTGGCCGGTGGGAGTGGGGGGGGTCTCATCCTGAGCGAGAATCTGAGGATGAGGATCCATGCCATGGATCACCAGAAAAACCAGCCAGATGCTGAGACCACAGCCTCCCCCCAGGCACCCGCACCCTGAATACCTTTTACACCAAATCCTGAACCTAGTAGCAGTAGCAGTGACCTGACTTCTCATATCAAACGCAGCTTTAATGGCACTGTTTGTCACTTAAGGCCCCACAAAACGAAGCTTGCAGTCAGAGGCATTTTAAAATGGTCAGAGGCCCCTGGGCTTCAGCCCAGGTAAACTTGTGCTTTGAAGCGTGTCTGCTTGCAGTAAAACAACCTCCGACCGAACGAGTGTGAATCACTCGACAGTCCTCTCCCAGTTGTGTTGTTTTCACAGGGAGAGAGACGCCGCGGAGTGAAAGGTTTACCTGTTTCCCCACAGGGCAGGTCTGTTAGCACCATGACGGCGTGATAGACACAGATCAGGCAAACCTCCAGCGGAGCCCAACAAGGCGTCATATTCATGGTGACTCAGGCACTCAGTTCAAGGAAGATACAGATCATGATTTCAAAATGCAGGCGGAATCAAAAACAGAATAGACACTGAAAAGCAACAAGAACAGCAGCGAATCAAACTCACATCGCCTTTGAGTCCGTAAACATCCCCCCCCCCCCAAAAAAAAATAATTAAATAGAAGAAAAACAATCCAGGCATCTGGATCAGAAATGAAAAAAACAATGTCAGAATGATTTCTAATTTTTTATTTTGTGTATATTCACTTTCCATAGAGCATCACCAGCATTTCCAAGTGGTGTTTACTTGACGGCCCCAACCACGGAAGGCCATGCATGCTATTGTTTCAGTTATGTCCATTTTTTGTTTAAATATTTTTGCCAAATGCATAAAATCGTGGTACAGAACACAAACCACATTGATCAACAGCGATTCCAAAAAAAATATAACATTTTAAAAAGTAAGAGAGCATAGGTCATGTTATAAATATGTTATATGACACAGTGCTGTGCAAAAGCCTTAGGTAGTCAAGGAAAATGTTTAAGACAATATCTGGGTAGGAAGTGCATGTTTGCTGAGAAAAACACAATTTAATCAGAATACAAACAATGAATAAAAAATAACAGGAATTTCTTCTGTTCTTCAAAAAGTTACAGACACCTGGTTGGACGGCTAGACAAACACCACTTTGGTTCCCAAACCGCTCCACAGGGGCACCTCAGCCATTTCAGCACCATCTCACTTTTAATTAACTTAATTTGATGAGGTATTAATTAGCCAAACATGGTATGAGTCAACCAATATAAACATATATGGGATGGTTCCTGTGAAGAGTGGGATGTCTTTAGGAGAGGTTTGGAAATAAATTAGCTGACACACTTTGAAGACACACATATAGAAGTTTTACACCAACATGAAGATCAACCAAACATAATTTTCTTTGACTGACTTTTGCACAGTGCAAATGTACAAAAAGCACCAAGTATAATTATACAGAGTAAAATCTAATAAATTAAGACCGCTTATAATTTTTTGCCAGGACAGGGGCCAATGGTTTGATATTGGGGGGTACCCGATCCTCCACCCTCCCAGTTCCTACTGCCTGTGACTGTGGATATTTGTGTAAGGGCTTGAACAGAGTAAACCGGATCACGAGGACAGTCCTGGTGTTATATTAAGGTGAGGTGTAGGCCTGGGTTCTCTTGGCATCTCACCTATGGAGCTGCTGTTAGATAAACAGGGTGTGATGGTAGATGTACTGGAGGTATTTGGGTTTTAAGAGCTCTGTGTGAGTAGGAGGGACTTAATGCTGTTAGGTCTGGAATTTTGGGGCTCAATAGGTGGGGTTTTCTGGTACCGGTATGTTGAAGTTGATGTGGCTGTGATTGTGAATCCTGACACTAGCATGCCTGGGATCTGTGTGGGGTCTCATTTTAAAGGGGCTTAACTATTATGGACATGGTGCAGTGTGCTATCTGAGCATCTGATGTTTTGAGAGACAACTGTGGGGTAGTATTTTGGGGGGGGGGGTCTTTCTGTGTTGTTTTTTGCCTGATATTGTAATAATGAGTTTTATGGGGGGATGTCTCTGGGTGTGTGATTTTGGGGGTGTAGGTTAGTGCTGGAGAAGATGCTGTGGCCTGTGAGGTGGGGGCTGTGGCCTGTGAGGTGGGGGCTGTGGTCCTTGAGTGTCTCCTGGGCTTCACTGTCGAAGGGCCAGTCCGGCTCCAGGCTACGTTTACCAGGTGGTGAACAGGAACAGGAACCTCTTGCATTGTTCTGGTCTCCTGCTGGATCTCTTTCCCTGATTAAAATGGGATGCGGCTGCTCTAGGAAAACAACAATTCCTTGCCAAAACTTCAGACCTTCTCATGTCTCGTAAACAATTTATTACTAAATTACATCAAGCGATGCATCCCATTTTTGTTAAAAGAACCATTTTGGGGAGTAATTAGACCCCAGCTTCCTTGCTCTCCGCACAGACCCCCCCCCCACCAAACTGTATACTACCCCACACCGAGCATCTCCACATGCCAGTGATGTTCTCGCCTCACGATGTTGATGTCAGCCGACACCGGGAGGCCGTGTCGTGCTCCAAAAGTGCGTGTGAGGGTGAGACGTGAGAAAGGTGACCAGGTTAGCTGCACCAGCAAGGCCGCTGGTGCCCAGCTGAATGCTAAACAGGAAATGCCTGCCGTAAAGAGACCCCGATAAACTGTTTTGAATTAAGATGCCTGCTTGCTGGATAATTATATCAATAATTTACCAGTGTGACCTTGATCAGTAAGGCATGCCAGCAGAGGACTGTGGAAAATGTCCAAATAACTAAAATGACTTCCTCTAGCAAATATTTACTTGACTCGACAGCAGTTAAAATGACAGATTTTAAAACAATTAAATTCAGTGGATACAACAAACAGCGTAACCACAGAGGCAGTTATGGGACAGACTCATCAGTTTTTACCATCTTCTCACTGATCCACCTCCAAGGTGAAATAAAAATGAACAGGACCGTGTAGGGGGTTTAGCCAGGACAGCAGGGGTATCTGGAGAGCATCTGTGCTATTTCGCTCTGAGCGACATGCCACAAACCCTTTTATTTTGAGAGTGTCCTGCGGTCCTCTGTCATAGCAACAGGTGTGCTGGTGTGAAACTCTGTCACTTAGTGCCCGGCTGCCGTGGGGTGCTATTCTGGCCAGGAAGCACTCTGCTCCTCCCACTCGTGTCTGACTGGGAGCCAGCAGGTTCATTGGGCACAGAATCTGGGAAGAATGTTGCATTGTGGGATTGATGTTTTTCACTTACTAGTCCTAGATGCCAGCCCCTGCTCCCACTCTCTCCCTTAGTGGGTTTGTGATCCTCTGAGTGCATGTTATAGCTTAATGTGGCTAAATTTGTGCTGGTGGAGCTGAGCTGAGTGGTGGGTCAGCAGTAGGAGAGGTACTTAATGATTCTGCTGGGGACGCTCAGCTTGGACACAGCTTCCAGTGCCCTTGTGCCCAGCGCTGTCCTCAGAGACACCCTGCTCAACTGCTGAAGACTCAGGGGTGTGCCTTGCAAAACAAGGGGGGGGAGACAGCAAAGGCTTATGGGATATTAGAATTCCACAAAAGCAAAACATAACCTCATGTTATATGGAAGCTCTTGAGCACCACCTAGTGGTCAGTCACATTATTTTAACAGCACTGAGCTTCACATTCGTTGTTCAGGGGCGAGAGATTCCTTCGCGATCAATACTTGGACCCATTATTAAAAATGCAAAAATTAACGGGACTGAAAAGGTAAAAATTTACTCTGAGACAGGGTCACAAAGACAGCCAACGACAACATGTGAGAGCCAGATGAGTAGATCCTAGTTCTTTTTTTTACCAAAAATATTTTTTAATATTTAGAGATCAGTGGTCATTGTTGACACACCACAGCATACACCAACGAAATCTGTCCTCTGCATTTAAGCCATATGTGACATCGTGACATAGCAGGGGGCAGCTAATTTAGCGCCCAGGGAGCAGTGCTTGGGGACGGGACCTTGCTCAGGGTACCTCAGTGGTGCCTTGCTGGTTGGGGATTCGAACCAGCACTCTTTCAATTACAAGTGTGCTTCCCTAACCATTAAGCCACCACTGCCCACAAAAAAATCACCACTGGAGATGCCAGGGATTGAACCCAGGACCTCATACATGCAAAGCAAGCGCTCTACCACTGAACTACATCCTCAATCTTATAAAGACTTAGAATGCACTCAAACTAATAAATAATGAACAACACTGTTATTTATATGTCACATCAATTTACATGATCCAAATTACTTTCGGTATTGTTTATATTGCTATTTTTGCCTCACGCGTCCTCAAGTGCAGTCAATTACCATTTAACACAGTAACATACTTTCATAGAATTGCAGGCAGGCGGCTGTGGGGCACCCGGGCTTGGTGTAGTCGATGGGCTTTTTGTCCAGGTTGTCCCGGGCATAAAGGTTCCCCCCAAACTCCACCAGCATCTCCACCAGATCCACGTTCTTCACTCTGGCTGCGTGGTGCAGAGCCGTCTCATGGAGCCGGGCGGCGTTGACCTTGGCACCTCGGGGAATACGATCATGTTATGCTCAGGTTTGCTGGCACCAGAAGTCGGTCGGGGCGCCCCTACCCTGACGGTTCTGCTGCACCCTCACCCGCTTTGAGCAGAGCCTTGGCACACTCCACCTGCTCATTGGCACATGCCACGTGCAGCGGGGTCCCGGAGTACAGCTCGTAGGCCTCCAGGTGAGCCCCCCCCGTGATGAGGAGCTGCACGCAGTCCGGGTTACCTGAGGTCACACGCACGGGTGGGCGGGAGTCAGCCGACCTCAGCGCCAACTCACCCTGACCATACATGCCGTTTCCACGGAGACTATACTCACCCATCACAACCTTTGAACATAAAGCATGCCCGATTATTAATGAACAATGTATTATTATTATTATTATAAACAAACTTGGAAGTGGAGAATAATGACAAACAGCACAGGTTGCATTTTCACCCCTGAACACGCACATGCAGGTGTACCCTAACCCTAACCCTAACCCTAACCCTAACCCTCGCATATACACCCGGGTTGGCATCATGTTGCTCACAAGGAATGCAAAACTCTTAACATTCTCTGTCTCATCACTCATTGACAGCAGCTGAAATGAGGCCCCACCGCCCATGCAGGCCTCGTGTAGAGGCGAGGTGGTGCGAGACGTCAGGGCCGGGTTGATGGTGGCACCGTGTTCCAGCAGCAGTTTGACGCACTCCAGGCTCCCTGCAGCACAGGCGTCGCATAGCGGGGTGCTGCCGTCGACGTTCCGCGCGTCCACCTGCAGGGGGCAGCCCCACAAACTCAACCTTTTTAAATTATCCTACCAGGCTCAAGTTTTTTCAGGTGTGCCAGGTGTGTGTGTGTGTGTCCCTGTCACCTGTGTGGCAGGTGTGTGTGTGTGTGTGTCCCTGTCACCTGTGTTGCAGGTGTGTGTGTCCCTCTCCCTGTCATCTGTGTGCCAGGTGTGTGTGTGTGTGTGTGTCCCTCTCTCCCTGTCACCTGTGTTGCAGGTGTGTGTGTGTGTCCCTCTCTCCCTGTCACCTGTGTGCCAGGTGTGTGTGTGTGTGTGTGTGTGTCCCTGTCACCTGTGTGGCAGGGGTGTCTGTGTGTGTCCCTGTCTCCTCTCACCTGTGCGCCCGCGTCCAGCAGCAGCCTCACACACTGTGCCTGTCCTTGTATGCAGGCTTCATGCAGCGGGGTGATGGAGTCCACCGCCACCATGTTGACAGAGGCCCCACTCTGGATCAGCCGCTGCAGCTCCGGCACCTGGCCCTGCGCCGCCGCCTTGTGGACATCTGTTCTTTCAGCCCAGAATCCTGCAACAAATGTGGAGAGAGTGTGTGTGTGTGTGTGTGTGTGTGTGTGTGTGTGTGTGTGGGGGGGGGGGGTTAGGGTCTGTTGGACTGCAGGACAGCTGCCTGGTTCATAATAATAATAATAATAATAATAATAATAATAATAAATGAATTAATAATAATGGACAGTAGTTTAATTTTTATATGTAAACAATGGGAAGAAACCAGTCTAACAAGTTAAATTCGGGTTAAGCGCGGGAACAGTTTTATGAATAACTCAATGGTAACATTACTACCTGAAACTTGAAGCTTGAAATAAATAAGCTAATATTCCAAACAGTCAATTGGACTGTACAAAATCATATATATTCAAATTGGTGAAACTGGGTGAATCTGACAGATACACTAAATCAGATCAGAATCCGCTTTATGGGCCAACTGTGTTTACACATACAAGAAATTTGACGCCGGATTTTTCGTCGATCTGTGCACTTACACAAGACAGACAATATATACAAAAAAATTAAGTATAGTATGTACAGAACAGACTTAAGCAGCTAATTCCAGCCCCACTCGGATATTTTCATTTTGCAGGGTGGTACAGGAAAACGTTTGTATTCATGAGAAACGCTACCTGATTGGCCAGTGAATGCCTTAGACGAGTTCACCGACCAATCAGATAGCCTCTTACATGAATATTAATGATGTTCCCCGAACCACCCTCAAAAAACAGGTAGCACGTGTCGATCGGAGCACGTTCACCGGCCAATCAGATAAAAAAAATATAGCGCCCCGCTCGGCGTCATGCTTAATCCAAAAATAATGTCCTTGAATGTTGGTCTGCCTGTATAGGCGTGTGTGCCATGAGATGTTTTTTCATAACCACAGATATGGAGCAAGCAAATAAAAACACGTCCGGGACGGTACGTCGGAGATTTATGTCCAGGCGGTTGCATGACAGTTCCCACCGTTGTGTAGGCAAAAATATACTATGCCTTGCAATTCTCCTTATTATCAGATTTATAATTTCAAACCCCGGTGCAGAAATACAGGACATCGTACCGTACAATGCGCCTCCTGGCGGGTTTATGACATCAAACGCTGGCGTATAATTACGGGACGTCATGATGCATTAGTTCACAAAAACGACTGTGGACTGATCGCTTTAATACCGGCAAACGACGGCTGAGCGACTGAGACTCACCGATGTCCCCGAAGAAGTAAGGTTTAGCAGGAACGACCTCCATTTTTACTGCATTCAATTAGAGTAAGTCATAATAAACAACACAACGAGATCCAGAGAGAAGAAAAACAAAAGTAGACAGTGCACCGTATAGGATTCGCGAGCCAGCGCACTATGAGACCGTCCTTGTTTTCACACACAGGAGTGCGCTCGCCTCGATAATATTTATGGGAGTTGTAGTTTACAGTAGGTGCAAAACTCTTCACTTAAAACGTGGCCACCCCTTAATATAGCTTAATGATATTCTGTACGGAAAACTAACGAGTATAAGAGCATGTAGTCATTGCAAAAAGATCAAATGATAAGAAGCAAGATGTCTTTGTGGCATCCAGGAAGTTAAAGAAAAATTAACTACTCGGGTCTTTTTGAGGTGGACAGTTTTTAGGCTTTGCTGTCCATCGAGGCAGTGATCTGGTGTGGGTTTGCAGGTAATTTAAACCAGTGGTTCCAAAAGTAGGGGTCGCGACCCTCTGGGGGGTCGTGAGACATTGAGGGGGAGGGGTCGCGAGATGATTTCCAAGAAATCAAATAGTTTTTTTTTACTATTAGAAATAACATTTTATCAACATTTTATATTAACATTTTATCTATAACTAACAAAAGAAAAAAACTAGTAGTTAATAGTTACATTTAAAAAAAAACATGCGAATTAAAAATCCATCAGCCTTTCAAATTTCTTTCCGTTTGATCGCGACCCCTGAGGTGATTACGACAGATTAACGACACATCAATAGCGTCAGTTGCAGCAGAATTTACAGCACCATGTTAAACATTCCGACATGTGCACGTAACGTGTAGGTAATTTTCATCGCTTTATGCTTAGGATATTATTTTTGTTGAAATGAAACGAATGAGTAAATAATAAAAAAAAAAGTTATATGGTTGTTACAGCGTTGTGTTCTTTTGTGTTGTCATGCTCTTGTTTGGATAGGATATTTTGTTGAAATTAAACAAATGAGTAAATTACTATAAAAAAATTATATTGTTGTTAGACCATTGTGTTCTTTCGTGTTATCATGGTCATGTTTGGATAGGCTTATTGGCGCATGTGCACCGTTGCGCGCAACATTTGTATATTTTAACCACTTCCGAGGATAGTGGGGGTCACGAGTCACTGGCACGGTTATTTTGGGGGTCGTGAGCTGAAAAGTTTGGGAACCCCTGATTTAAACCATGGGGTGCACTTCCAGATGGGTGTTCATCTGTAGCACAGGTAGTCAATGATACGCTGTGACAGCTGGAGTATGGATGCAGCCTCCTGGGCCCTCGTACCCAGTGCCATCCTCAAACAGGCTCTGCTCATCTGCTGCAGACTCAGTGGGTTGCCTGTAAAACAGGTGAAATCCACCAAATTTGTGAGGGACTCCATTCTGTCACACTGCTCTGTACATGCTGGTCATGACTGCATGATTAAAGACATACTTTCATAAAACTCCAGGCAGACGGCTGTGGGGCACCCGGGCCTGGTGTAGTCGATGGGCTTTCTGCCCAGGTTGTCCCGGGCGTACACGTTTGCCCCGAATTCCACCAGCATCTGGATCAGATCTACGTTCCCCACTTTAGCTGCGTAGTGGAGCGCCGTCTCATGGAAGCTGGCAGCATTCACACGGGCACCTTGAGGGACATGGTACTGAAAAGCTTTCCTGAAGTTCTGATTCTAGTTCCAGCTGTGGCTGTAGGTGATGATCTTGGGTTGGTCAGCACGTCTAAACCCATCAGCAGCTCCACGTTTTTTACTCCATATTTGATTCTCCCAATTTTGAGACATAGAAACCAAGACCATTTACTCTCCAGAATGTCCAACATGTATTCATCGACTTTCTAACTGTTTATCCTTGTCGGGGAACCTGGGCAGAGGGTACAAGCCTGGGGTCCATGCTAAACAGGATGCCAATGCTTTGCTGGACACACACACACACACACACACACACACACAGTCATGTAATCATACCTTTATGGGGACTGCTCATTCACTTCTATGGGAAAAATGCTAATGCTAACTTTGACAACCTTAATCCCTACCCAGCCCTAACCATAACCATAAGTAACCAAACAAAATACAAGTTTTTGCATTTTTACTTTTTCATTGCAGTCACAGCTGTTTATTAAATTGAGTTTGCCCTTATGGGGAAAAAAAAACGGGTATTCATCACGTTGTGGGGACATTGTGTCCCCATAAGGTAAAGTATACCCACTCACACACGCACACACACACACACACACACAGCTCCTATGGAAGCTCCTGTGGATGTTTTACCAGTCTGTGGTGGCCAGTGTCCTTTTCTTCAGTGTGGTGTGTTGGGGGAGCGGCACAGCAAAAAAAGGACTCATCAGGCTGGAGAAACTGATCAGGAGGGCTGTCTCTGATGTCGGCATGAAGCTGGACACTCTGGCCACAGTGGCAGAGGAAAGGACTCTGAACAAACTGTTGGCCATTATGAATAATGTCAGGCAGCCTTTGCACACTGTCATTAACAACCAGAGGAGTATGTTCAGTGGCAGGATGCTACTTCTCAAATCCAGAACTGACAGACTTAGGAATTCCTTTGTCCCACACGCCATCAAACTGTTTAACTCCTCATTGGGGGGGAGGAGGGGGAGCAGGAGGGGGGACAGAAGGACATTTAACTGACTGTACAATAGACCAATGAACCCGTGCAATAATTATTTATTAGTACCATCATCCCATCACTATTTATTACTTCTCCCTATACTTTCATCTGTAACTGTAATGTATGTGTATGTGTAACTGTATGTCGTTTGTATGTTGTTTGGTGCTATGGTGCTACTAGAAACTGAATTTCCCGGAGGAACCTTCCTGAGGGATTAATAAAGTTTTCTACCTACCTACACACCCACCCACACACACACACACCCACCCACACACACACCCACCCACACACACACACACCCACACACCATTGAGCAGTGTTTCCCTATCCGGTCCTCGGGGACCCACAGTTGGTCAATGATATTCCGAGTTTCCTGCCAGACAGTCCACATTTCTGCTCCCTCCCAGCTCCAGGGGAGCAGAAACATGGACTGTCTGTGGGATCCCTCAGGACCAGACTGGGAAACACTGCTATAGAGAGTTTAGCCTATCTACAAGTCTTTGTACTATAGGAGGAAACCCAGTAGCGTATAACAGAGGAAACAGACATCAGAGGTGGGATTCATCCCTGAACCCTGGAGGTGCGATTGGCCATGCCGCCCATCCCATGATCATGTCTTTTAGTTACCCCACCAGTGGGAGCTCATCTTCTCACCTGCGCTGAGCAGCACTCTGGCACAGTCCACATTCCCTCTGGCACACGCCGCATGCAACGGTGTCCCGAAATAGATGTCAAAAGCCTCCAGATGGGCACCTTCTGCGATCATGAGCTGGGCGCAGTCTGGGTCGCCTGAACACACACATGCAATAACACCATTTGCATGTATTTATCTTAGCAGATGCCAAAGGTCACTGCAATCCAATGTCAGCCAGGACTTTCTAGACTCTGTTTGGGGTGGGGGGGGGGGTTCAATCATGCTGTTTTTGTGTCTAAGTTGGGATATTTCTTCAGATTGAAAGTAGTAACCCTACTAAGGGTCAAATCATAGTATTGCTTTTATCGAAAGTGATGTGTGTTTCAGAAAGTAGGGTCAGTCAGCCCCTGGGCCAATTGGGGGTTAAGGACCTTGCTCAGGGGCTCAGCAGTGGCATCACTCTGGCGACCATGGGAACTGAGTGACAATGACAAACACAGTGAAGGTGATCGAACATAAATGGAACAGGCACCATCCTCCAGCGAAAGAAAACGCGGAGCTGCCTCTTACCACGTATGCATGCCTCGTGGAGCGGCGAGGCCGTCAGGGCGGTGAGAGAAGGGTTAACGGAGGCTCCGTGCTCCAGAAGAAGCTTTGCGCACTCAAGGCTGCCGGCAGCACAGGCATTGCACAGCGGTGTGCTGCCGTGGATGGTCCTGATGTCTACCTGCAGGGGGCACCATTGGCACAAAAACTACTGAATTTGAATGCAATCCAGTGTAAGTCAGGAATTCCAGTGCCTGGCTTACTTGTGTGCAGTTTCTCCCACCTGCGCTCCTGCAGCAAGGAGAAGCTTAGCACAATGGGGCTGTGCTCCTGCACAGGCGTCGTGGAGTGGTGTTATATTGTCCGCGGTGACAGCGTTGACGGAGGCGCCGCCATCGATCAGCCGCTCCAGCTGCAGCGCGTTCCCGAGCGACGCTATCTGGTGCAGCTCTGTCCGGCCCGCCCAGAGCCCTTCAATTCAGCGCAGTTCACGAGAAATTTATCCAAGAGTTACAGTAAAATATGTTCCGCTATTTTTTTACGACGTTTGGATAAAAGCAAATCAGACACGTGCCGTTTTAATTTTATTTTTTCTCAGTGTTTTGTAGGGTTTAATGTGCATACAGTACGACGGTCAGGACTCGGCTTAGTTAATTTTTTTTGCGCTTGCGTTATTACGAAGGTCTATGCCCTTTTTAAATCGGCTTGTTATATGAGTGAACTTAATTCAAATTTACATTGTAGCGCAGTGAATTAATAACTGCACGTTTCTATAAATTTTAAAGCATCTTACAACTTGTTCTAAAACAAACTTCTACTGTCCGACCACTTATGCTGAGTATGGAGTTTGTATGGACACATCTGCGATACCAGTAAGTTCTCTACGATCCGATACTACGTAGCCTAATACCAAGGTTGGTAGTTAACGTACTGCTCCCTAAAGTAAATATTTAAATTACCAGGTAAAAATAATTTCAACGGTATTCTCAAAATGAAACATTCATATCAAATTGATATGTCCTTACCCTTATCCTTAGTCTGTAAGACACTTACCTAGATTTCCGAAAAACTCAGGCCTAGTGGTTGTCATTTCCATTTCCGTGCGACACATTAATAGTGACCATTCGGTTACTTGGTGAGTTCATATGTGTATATAAATATCTATATATAGTGTGCTGGATCATGACTTGTAGATGCAAGTCTCCATTTTTGGTATAGTGGGAGTCATGGGAAGTGTAGTTCTCCAATTTCACAAGGGTCATGGATCGCCTTTTCCCCCCTATGATAAATCCAGAATGTGTAAAACTAGTAAAACGACTGAAATACATCTCCCATTTATGCTATCGGATGACACACTATCGTTTGCATCATTATTATTATATACGTGAGTACACAAGTACCCGTTTTTGTGAATTTCTCTGCAAGCCGCATCATCAAGACAAAAGCTAACAAGTCACACTAAGGTAACTTTTGAAAATTATAATCATACTGCTAAGGCATCATGGGAATTTTTCAAAGCTAAAAAACTGAAACTTATTGAATGCCAGTCACCCGATTTAAATCCAACTAAGCATGGCTTCCATATGCATAATTTGCGTCAAAAATCTTATCAGTTCCAATTTGTCAGGTGCACAATGTGTGTGCAAAGATTGAAAAAAAAAAATCAGTTAAATATCTTTTGGGTTATTGCCTTATTGAGAAACTATTTGCAGCAGCAGCAGCAGACCAGTCCCAAAACTATAGTTATTCCGTCTGAGGAATACAATAACATTTAATGCAATTAGATTTAATCTTATCCAGTGTCTTATTTAATAAGTTTTACCAATCTAGCAGGACTAAATTCAGAATATGCGAGTCTGTTTTCATAAATCCACCAGCCTCAGAGATTAAAGTCTGATATTGTCAGTTTCTAAACAGCAGCATAGAGGATATCTCTGTTCTGATGTGTTTCACATCCAGGACGTCTATCCAGTCAGGCATCTGAACAGCCTAGGGACTGACCGTATCTGGATGTGTACATAACATTTTTACAAACTAAAGCAAGTCATTGATATGAGAGGTAGTTAATGATCCGATTGGGCAAGTTGAGTTGGGATACAATTTCCAGTGCCCTTGGACCCAGCATCATCCTGATGGCGACTCTGCTCAATTGCTGCAAGCTCAGTGGTGTTCCTTTAAAACACACAGGGAACAGCAGAGGTTTATGGGAAAAGAAGCTATCACATGACATCTTCACACACATGTTCCAAAGAACCACATTTGGATGCTTCAAGAATCAGATGATAAGTTGCTTTCAACTTTGTAACTAAACTCTGAAGCATGTATTCACATTTGTCGCAGATACATTATCGAACAGAGCAGAGGGAACAATACTTTGATAGCGTACTTTCATAGAATTCCAGGCAGAGGGCAGCAGGGGACCCGGGCCTGGTGTAGTCGATGGGCTTTCTGTCCAGGTTGTCCCTGGCGTAAAGGTTCCCCCCAAACTCCACCAGCAGCTCGATCAGGTCCACATTCCTCACTTTGGCTGCGTGGTGCAGGGCCGTCTCGTGTATCTTGGCAGCATTCACATTAGCACCTTGGGGTCGGAGGGGCACAGTTTTTGCAGCTCCGAAGTCCCCCAGACTGTGACACACGCCGGCACCGTCTCGCACCCCCTTACCCGCGTTGAGCAGAAACTTGGCACAGTCCACCCGCTGCCTGGCACATGCTACGTGCAGAGGGGTCCCGAAATGGCAGTCGTGAGCCTCCATCCGCGCCCCCCCGGCGATCATGAGCCGTATGCAATCAATGTTACCTGCAGGCATGAAAAACATGTATTTGTTTAGTGGGATAACGTCGGCATAAACAGTGCCGATGCAGGTCACTGTGGGGCAAACTGCGTCACATCGGGGTTAATGCACAATGGAAAGCATGCACCCCACCTCCCATGCAAGCCTCGTGCAGAGGTGAGAAAGTGAAGAGATGGGGGTTGATGGTGGCGCCGTGTTCCAGCAGCAGTTTGACGCACTCCAGGCTCCCTGCAGCACAGGCGTCGCATAGCGGGGTGCTGCCGTCGATGTTACGCGCGTCCACCTGCAGGGGGCAGCCCCACAAACTCAAAGCAAAGCAACGAGTTGACACAAAACCCCTTCACCTGTGTGCCAGGTGTGTGTGTGTGTCCCTCAAACCCTCTTGCCTGTGTGGCAGGGGTGTCTGTGTGTGTCCCTGTCTCCTCTCACCTGTGCGCCCGCGTCCAGCAGCAGCCTCACACACTGTGCGTGTCCTTGTATGCAGGCTTCATGCAGCGGGGTGATGGAGTCCACCGCCACCATGTTGACAGAGGCCCCACTCTGGATCAGTTGCTGCAGCTCCGGCACGTGGCCCCGAAAGGCAGCCTCGTGCACCGCCGAGCGGTCGGTCCAGAACCCCAAGCCATGAGCTGAGGCCATATAAAGCTTAGAAAAAGAAGCCTGAAGTGCAACCACAGGCTGTTCAAAAACAGAAAGCTAATATTTTAAGCGCTTTACGACTGTCTATAATTGTTATCTATTAATGCAGAAAATGGTACTGAAGGATTTTTTGTCATGTGTACATCGTACAAATTATATTCTTTCTTACAGTGCGTGATTCCTGCAACGTGAAAATAACTATTCTGCCTATAACTGTCCTCTCAATTATTTTACATTAACAAAACATCTACCTAACCAATACAGGGTATACACATGTAACATAATCAAAACCGCGTGTATATAAAATCAATATTTGGTTAAGTGTTGAACAGCGAAATTGAAATTACTACGAGTACAATTAGATTGTATAGTGTATTTGGTGTTTGCATGAGGGCTCTTTAATTTGCAACCTTTGAGTAACAATATTTACAGCATATTTTAAGGAGCAAATATATTTATCCAGGCACGCATGATGAATTTGAATTTCCCTAAGCTTGAATTAGGCGGCATTTACGTTTGTATGGGTTAATCGGTGTTTAATGTAATGCTGTTCCAAAAGAGCAACCTTCCGAGAAGCCACGTACAGTAAAACACCACTGGCAGCTAAACGAAATACATATCACGGGTACTTACCAATGTCTACGAAAATCGAAGGCCTAGTACAATGTAATAGGCATTTCATATATTTCATAATCATTTACCTAAAGACATACCCATTCATATATGGCATGGTAAACAAAAATATTTCAGCCCGTATCCGCAGTCACTTTGCAGCGCTGTCATTTGACTTACTGTAGCAACGCTCAAAGGGACTATGGGAAGTGGAGTTAAACTGGAGCCTGGGCTTTCACTCTGGCGCTCGGTAATCGAGCAGACGGGTCTGTTCAAACCCTTATTACGTCACACTGCAGCGACCAAATGACCGTGGTAAGATGCGCTCGGTAATCGAGCTGTTGTGTCTGTTCTCTCTGTTTTTCCTGTAGACGGCGCCTTGCTCCCCGGTCTGTTGGAAGGCTTTGTACGGAGATCATGTCGACCGCGCTGGAAAGCTACATTAACAGTATCCTTAGTTGTTCAGGACACTTGAGGGGTCCTCGCGGACGGAGTGAGATAAGCTGAAAGCGCATGGCAAAACCGGAGAGACAAACAGCTGCACCCCGCGGCTTGGGCTAGTTAGCTTAGCTACAGTATGACTCGGGTTACGTGATATGTACGCCGCAAAATTCTCTCTAAATTAGCGATGGGTTGTTATTGTTGTTATTATAATTATTATTAAGCAGTCGGAGTATGGATGGGTGGATGTTGACCTGCTGCATGACAACAACTTCAGTGGTTCAGACGTTCTTTACCAAATGGATATTAATAGTAATTAGCATGGGGTCATGGGAGGTCACTGTGATGAAATGGGTTACATTTTATGTTGTGAATTTTATGAATGCGTTACAGTACAATACTTTAACTAACAATCCAGGGACCGTAGCAGTTATAACGTCTGATGGAAGAATGATCGTGGTAAGATGTTTTTTTTAATAAGACAATGATTCTAACTTTGTCAGTAATTGGAATCGGTGATCATTATACTTTTCCCCTCCACATTTCATTAGGGGACACTAAAAGGATTTGATCAGACGATCAACCTAATCCTTGACGAGAGTCATGAACGGGTCTTCAGCTCCACTCAGGGGGTGGAACAGGTCGTGCTGGGCCTGTATATTGTCAGAGGAGACAATGTGTAAGTATTAAGCAAACTGGTGAACCTCATACCCGTCTGGGTGCTGATCCATCTGGTACAGCACAATGCAATGGCACACAATCTTCACGTCAGTCTGCGGGTACGTATGTTGTTGCCAAAGCATCCTAACTGGCACAGAAGTGACTTTCTTTGGTCGCTGTTTCAGGGCTGTTATTGGAGAGATTGATGAGGAAACAGATTCTGCCCTGGACCTTGGAAACATTCGTGCTGAGCCTCTCAACTCCGTGGTTCACTGATGATTCTAAGCCGTGCCAGGGACCTTCCAGCCTGTGTTGTTGTAAAGATGATGTACTTTGTAACAGTTTATTCTGTAAATTACTCCGTATGCAAGGATGTGGGTTTTTTTTTAAAAGCAACATGACCATATATTTTCAATAAATGCTTTTAAATGTACCTGTAGAATAATGGTATGAAAAACATACAGTTTGTAATTTTTGCAAATCTCCAAAAGTCCTTACATGTAACCTGTGGAATTACGTTTTCTGAATAACAGTCCAAATTTAAAAATACATGAATGGACTTTTGCTTGATTTAATTTTACCAAAATAAACATTCAAGAAAAAAAATCAAGGCATTTCAGTTTTTACATTTTTTTAAATAAAATTGTTGCACACCAAGTTTTATGTTGCTGCACATCATAAAAACATCTCTAGTGACTGAAATTTAAAGTGTATCAGCTACCTGACCAGCTGGAGGAAAAGAAACATTACCAATAGTACCGTGACTCTCAATGTAACCTATTGATTTTTACACCGATCGGTTGTTACTGTTTAAACAAGGACTATCAAATTGGCATCGATTTTTATTCAGGTTGCTTAACTGAGAACTCAGAGTTCATCATGTTAATTTGTCAGAAAACTCCAATTTCAAACTTTGCAATATCAAACATGCAATGAAACAATCGGTGAAGTCATTTTGTACCATTCTAGAAACAATACAAGTAAATTCAAAACAGTATTCTAGATAAATAACTATCCAATCTGTTTTCATTCTTAAGAAAACTTGTCAGAAAAAGCCTTTTTAAATTACATGAAATTATAATCTTGGCAAAGTAATGAAACAATATAATACTGACGATGAAAAGGAATGCATGCAAAATCAAGGAAATGAGGACAACCTTACATGGAATGTTTTATAAAGAATATAAAGTGTACTTAATATACAGATTTTTTTTCCATGTGCAAACCTGAAAGGAAAGCCTTTCAAATGCAACCGTTAGTCATAAATATTAAGACACTGTGGTTTCAACAGTGAGGCCAAAACTAAGTTGTCCTTTGAGTGCAAAGATGTGCAGAGATTGTATAAATGTCACAGCTGTAAACAGAAGAGGCGCTGATACTCTGGGAGCGTCAGATCCTGTAGTTCTTCTTCAAGACGTCCAGATACTGCTGTGTGGCTCTGGCCACTGGGTCCTGGTCCATGCTGAGGCTCCTCTGGGAAGCTGCTACTGACCCCACCGGGGACAATCGGGCCGACTCCCTCCCCAGCTCTGCAGAAGCTAAGGGATGGGGGGGGACAGCAGACGCACAGCAGAGTCTCATCCAAAGTGCCAAGTGCACCGAAGATCCTGCGAGTCTGACCCCATGGTAAGACAGGAACACTTACCCTTGTCTAGTTCCCTTGTTATGTTTTTTTCCAATTCGTTTTGCATCTTGGTGGAAACAAACAGGAATGTGTTCAGCACAGCGGCAGATACCACAAGGTACAGAGCAATTCAATGGTTGTTAGATGATGTTCATTTAAAATGGCTGCACCAGAGTCTGGTTCAAGCTGTGTTATCAACTATTATTATGTGCAATTATCCAAATTTGAATAGTCATATTTTAATACTCTTCATAAATGTTTTTTTTATGCAATACTATAAAATTCACTAAAATGGAAAAATAGCTGAGGAACCTATGAGCAGAACTTTCAGTGACTGAAAATTTAGAATTCAAGTCTGACAGTGACTATCCTGATCAAAACATGTAGCGCCATTTGACAGTCTCACCTTCGCCAGGAACGTTTCCACCTTGGTGTTCTGTCCATTCCCCACTGGGTCCAGGAGGCCGCTTCCTAGACCACCTCCATAGGGCCCTGCTGGGTTCAGCTGCTCCACATCCAGTGAGGGGCCAATCAGGCTGCCACCCATGCCACCCATGCCACCCGCCATCAGCGACCGGGTGCGCTGACGCTCACCCAGCAGTCTGGCGTTGGCCTCTCCCAGCCGCTCATTGGACCTGCAGTGACAGTGGGTTCGGGTGGATTCAGTGTGTAGGAATGTAGGTTTACATACTGGACCTAAATCTAAGGATCCTTGGAATGAGAATCCAACATATCCACCAAAACAGGGACCCCCCCCGGCTCCATGTTTCCGCTCCCTCCCAGCTACCTGCCAGAAGGTCCACCAGAGGGCCAGGATGAGAAGCACTGCACTAAAATATGCTGAAACCTCCCTAGCCTGGACCGCTTAGGTAAAATTATCTGTGCAACTCCATGCCGCTACAGTACATATCAACGTCTTTATTGTACACTGAAGTTCTGGTGGGTTCAAATCAGCTATAGTTACGCAGACTCACAAGTGAAATCACGGGAATGTCCAGTGATTTTTGTGCGATGCAGAGCAAGGCGTCTACAAATCTGAACTACAGATCTAAAAGCAAACCAAATCACTGTCACTGAACCTTTCCAGCTTGGCTGCCAGGCTCTTGCGCAGCTGCAGCTCCTCGCCGTAGAGCTCGCGGTAGCGCTGCAGCTCCGTCAGCGCGCTCTCCTTCTGGGACAGGCTGTCGTTCTGGTTGCCTCGCAGGCGGCTCAGCTCGCCCTCCAGCTCCCGAATGCGCTGCTCCTGCTGGGCCCGCAGACTCGCTTCATTTGTAGCTTTCATTTGCTCCAAAGCCTCCTGAGATGCGGCCTGGGTCTGGGACATGAAGGTTATGGCCTTAAAGCAATTGCAGAGATGGATAGGTCCAGTCCAGAAAGTAAAAATCCAGACCAAGATTTTGTTTCAACCACCCACTTGCGTACTTTGTGACTCTTTATACTCAGAAGGTTGGTTGAAACAAAACCTGGATTTTAACTTTCTGGCCTGGAACTATCCACCTCTGACTGCTTTCAAAGAAAAGATGCTAGTCTAGGTGTGTCCAGTAGCCTAAAAGCAGAATGTTTCACAAGCGAATATCGAAGGCCTGACCCACATTTAAAAGTCAACTTGAAGTTGCAACGATTATCAGTATACGACAGGGCTCGTCAAATCTGGACCTCGATTCCAAATCCAGGCCTTGTTTTCAGTTCTCCCAGGTAGTTAGTTTAATAATTACTGATTCTGATTGGTCAGAGGCTTCACACCGGACTGACAGGTAAAGGAAGGCTGGAAAACCAGCGGTGCTCGGACCTCGAGGACCGTGATTTGAATAACAGGGATATACGATAAAAGCATCTATGTTTAAAGAAGGTCTGACAGTTGCGATTCCCATAGGTAGTGACCTGCAGAAAGAGGTTGACCTCCTCCAGCTTCTGCCGGACCTCCAGACGGGCCCGTTCCTCGGCCTCTCTGCAGTAATGCTCCAGGTGGTTCTGGTCCATCCTGCTGCTCTCCATCTGCCGCTGCAGGCCGGCCACCTCCTCCTCTAGCCGTCTCTTGCCCCTCTCCAGATGCTCATTGGTCCTGCTGAGGGTCTTCAGGGAGGAAAGCTGCTCCTTCAGGTCCGAATTCAGGGCCTCCAACTTGCTGCACTTCATTTCCTCTTTTTGCAGCTGGAGACTGAGCTCGTCAACCTGGGGCAGACGCAGAAACAGACTGATGAACAGCGAGTCCCAGTGCGCTGCAGGAATGTTGGTGTAGCTGAGAAATGCCATGTACTCGGGACTTCATCCGGCCCAAGGTGTCGCCCGGCTTGCTGAGCACAGAGTCTGGTTCCATGTTCTGCTGCTCCCTCAGTCTCTTCTTGGCCGTTTTCAGCAGGATCTTCAGTCTTCAAAGAGTAAACACCAATCAGCAAATACTGTCTGCTCAGGCTGTACTGCATAATACGGAAATCACTGTCTCACCTTCACTTTGCGTAACAGTTTTTGTTAAAGCACGGAAAATGGCTCCTGAATTACTTCTGATTTGGATGGTGAGACGTTACCTTGATATGTCTTTTTGCAGCTCCGTGTTTCTGCTCATCTCCTGGTCAAGCCTAATATCCGTGGATTTCTTCTGCTCTGCGGTTTTCTTTACCCTCTTTCTTTCAATTTCCACCTGCAAGGAAATTCAGGTGAATCCAGCACCGTGTGGAGTTAATAAAATTTACTTAATATGTTTTTCTGAGGAGATAAACAAGTATTTTAATTTATAAGCCATTATGTCTGGCCGCCTCAGAGAGTACTCCCTCCCAGATGGGTACCTGCCCGGAAAGCTCGCCCTTCTCCCTCTCCAGCTCCGCCAGGCGCAGGCTGAGTCGCGCCCGAGCTTTCATCTCCTCCTCCCACAGCCGATGGGTGTCCTGGGCGCTGTGGGAAAGCAGGCTCTGCTTCTGTACCTGGCACGAAGGAGCACAGCAGCTCAGCGATGCACTAGCGAGTGTCTCTCTGGGGCTCCAAGCGGCCAATGGACACACCCAGCCAGGCACAAACCTCTCGACTCAGTTTATCTTCCAGCGTAATCTTGCTTCCTTGCAAGTTTGTGACCAGATCCTCTAAACGGTTCCTAACCTGTAAGACGACAAAAAGTAAAACTTACCCAGAAAACTTAACAATCATTCATTCATTATTGTTGTTTATTTTTATATGTGAAATATCACAGCATGCTTTAAGCAGCTCTACATCCATGCAACACATCAAGCTGGAAAACACTATTAAAAAACCCAAAGCGCAATGATAAGTATATAAAAAAAACCCTTAATGACACGTTAACACAGCGAGGATGAAGTCAGATTCAGAGGCGTTTGGTCACTGTGTTACATCGAGGCTACGTCTGTAATTTCAGAACACACAAAAGGGCTTGATGCAGTTTAAAATATCTATTTTCTAAACTGCAAAATTCATTTGTTTATAGATTCATCAGTCTTTATATTTAAGAGAAATATTGTAAATAAAATAAAGAGGTGGCTAATAGAGACTATCACCACATCTTAAAATACAAACCCCAGTGCCAGGTGATGAATCTGATGTCTGTAAAAAGATTAAGTTCTTTTTTGGTGAAAATGCACAGGGGTCCATTTGAAATGTCAAAAGCATGAACAGACACATTCACAGACATATAGCAGGTCTCTGCATGTGTCAAATGACAATGCAAATGATTGACATGGTACATCAAACACAAAATGTGCTTATTTGTAATACTCATTAAAAGGCATCTATACTAATTATTCAGCCTGAGCGTGAGGGTTTGGGGGCTCACAAGGTCATACCTCTGCAGCTTCCTGGCTGTCCTTCTGCAGCACCTCGATCCTGCTCATCTGGTGTTTGGCTGAAGCCTCCAGCCTGGCGTTCTCGATTTCCAGCCTGCAACAGCAACCCCGTAACAATGACGCGCTTTTTCGGCTGCGATTTCCATTGACGTGCTCATGCGCCGCATCGCCGGCACGGCTGCTTCCGCGCGACAGCTGCGTGCGGCCATGACCGCGTGTCACGCCGGGGTACTTTACTTCTGCACGGCCTCCTCCAGCTGCTTGACCATCTTGTCTCTGTCCACAGCAGCTGCCAGGGCTTCCTGCAGCCTCTGACTGGAGGTAACGGCGTCTCGCTCCTTGTCGTCCAGGGTTCTCTTCAGCTCGTGGATGCGCTGCTCGGCCTGGACATACTGATCCTCGCTCTCCTGCAGCTGAAGGGACAGCAGACCGTCGGCGGCGTCCAAATTCAGGGGCTGCATCCTTCTACGGCTGCATTTGCAGACCGAACGCGTCACAGCGGTGCGACAAGGCTCTCCCATCTCGAAGGCTCCTAACGCGATATAGTAACGCATCCTTTTGTCAGGTCGCAAAGGATCCACCCGATGGATCCATTGTGCAGAGGTGTGTCCTGACTAGACGACAGGAGTGGCACTTCCATGACTCAAGGGAAAGGGTGGGAACAGTGGCGGCCAGACTGTCCCGTTTGCAGACTGTCCCGTTTGACGACGCTTTCCGTTCAACCTTTGAAGAACACAGCCTGGGAAAAACTACGCCTTCCTAGACCTCATCCGTGAAAGGATGCGGCCCCTGAATTCAGATACAGCTGTTCAATCCCGTCTTGGCTGTCCTATGGGGTAGGCACACCTGATCCCAGAGTGCCAGTATCCAGCGGTTTCCATCCTACCGGGTCTCTGATGACCCACACCTGATCTCAGGCAGATAGTAACTCATCAGGTAGGACAGATATCTGTCGCCTGCCCGTCGTACAGCATTTACTCTGTGAAATCTGATTTATACTTCTGCGTAGAATTTGCAGCATCAGGTACAGCATAGATGGCGTACCATACGCTGCAGCCCGACATGCCCCACCTCAGAAACATGCCAGCTACGGGCATCACACATGGACACTGGCTGCCAACGAGGAACTCACCCTGCCCCTCAGCCTGTCCATGTCCTTCTGCAGACGTAGCTTTTCCTCTTCCAGATCGTTTCTGTAGCGAGAGTTCACCTCCAGAGAGGCCTCAGACATGGAAAGCTTCTTCAGGGTGTCGGCCAGTTCCTGCTGCAGCTGCCTCAGGGCTGCCTGTATAGCAAACCGGGGACAACATACATCTGTGTGATTAATACATCGTCAGGGCTGTCACTGTCACCTCCCCGCATTTGGCCTAAGGTGACCAGATAATCCATGTCAGGTAGGACAATTTGAGCCAGGATTTGTAACCTACGATTTCAATTAACAGGAACTAGATTTCACTTATAGCGCAGAGTTCTTGCTGTGTGCTGATTGGTCAGTCTCCTAAAATCATGCATGTGCCACAAATGTTAATGTGAAACAGTTGGATGAGTCTTTCAATCAAAGAAACAAACCAGTCAAAGTATAAGAATTGGACTATTTAGCCAATCACAGGAGCCTTTCGGTTTGAGAGTAGTTTGTCGTCGTGATTCCCGGCAGGTTACTATGACCAGGACAGCGTATGTAAGCTACACGTCCCTGTAGGTCACAGCTGCCTGACGCGGCCCTCGTCTCCGTGCTCGCACCTCTCTCTCAGCCTTCTCCAGGTCCTGCCTCAGCAGCTGTTCCTGCAGCTCCGTGTTCTTTGAGACCAACTCCTTGCTCCTCTCCTCCGCCATCCGCACCCGCTCCTCGCTATCCGCGCGCAGCTTGCCCAGCAGGTCGCTGAAGCGCTCCTGCGCGTCCGACACGGCCCGCTCCTTGATCACGCCACGGTTCTGGGCCTCTTCCAGCTGCTGCCGGAGCAGCATGGTCTCGCTCTGGGCCTGGGCCAGCCGCTCCTGCGTGGCCTCCTGTCGCGCCGCAGCCTTGCCGGCCTGCTCCCGCTCGGCCTGCAGGCCGGCCTCCAGCTGCCTGATCTGGGCCTGGCCCCGGTCATGCTCCCTCTGCACCGTCTCCAGCAGCAGGCTCTTCTCGGTGAGTGACAGTGTGGCGCGGTGACACTCGTTCTCAAGGCTGTTGGCTTTGGCCTCGGCCGCGCCCAGCTGCTGCGAGAGGCTGTTCGCCGACTCGCGCTGGCTGGCCAGTTCCGCCGAGATCTTCTCCTGCGTCCTCTGCCAGTCCTCCCTCTCACGCTGCAGGCTCCTGTCGGCTTCGGACCTGGAGGCCTGAATGACCTCCACCTCCTGCAAGGCGGCCGCCAGCCTCACCCGGACCGAGTCCGCCTCGGCCTCCAGCCTCTCCCTTGCCTGCTTCTCGTGCTCCAGCTTGGTCGAGGCCATGGAGCACTCGGCCTTGAGGGCAGAGATCTGGCCGTTGTACTGGTAGACCGTCTGGGCCAGGGCTTCTTCGCTGAGCTTCAGGTCACGTCTGGCGTCCTCCAGCCTCTCCCTGAGGGTCTCGTTCTCCTCACCGAGGTGGGCTTCTTCCTGGCGGCTATGAGCACGAACTCGCTCCAACTCCATCCTTAGTGTCGTCACCTCCTCATGTAGGCTCTGGCTCTGCTGCACAAGCTGCTTCTCTCGGTCGCTGGCCTCTGACAGCTGAGATATGGCCTTCAGCACCCCGACGATGGAACAAACCAGAACAGAAAGAGAATGCCCTTATTGTCATTTTACAGGTAGCAAGAGCAACACAAACCCATCTCGTTCTCCTATGAGACACACACACACACACACACAGTTGGATAAACGTATCTTTATGGGGACCGCTCATTCATTTCTATGGGAAAAATACTAACACTAACTGCACGCCATTAAGTGCCACTGCTGTTTGAATTTGTGTTAAGCACTTTAGGTCAACCTTGTTGGTAAAGGTGATACATAAGACACTGAATAGATCAGAATGGAAACAGACAACATCCTTAGACAAGCAGACAATCTGCTGCTTGTCATTTAGGTCTTTACCTCACTGCTCTTAGTGAAGTTCCTCATGTTCTCCTCCTCTAGCTCCCTCTGCTTGCACAGGTGCTTGGTTAGGATGCCCTCCTGAACGGTGCGGGTACTGCGCTCATGGGCCAGCAAGCGCTGCGTCTCACTGTGGTCGTCGTCCAGCTGGAATGATGATGTCATGAGTACTGGACGATGATGTCATAAGTATGACATCATCACATAAAACTCTCTCTGAAGACAGACGTCTTCACATTATCCTCAAGGATGGTAGAAGGATGTAGGTGTCTAGAGAGGTGCTACTGACCTGCTTCATGCTATTAATCAGGGCCCTCATCTCCAGCTCCAGGTTCCTCTTGGCGAGCTCCACCTTCTGCCTCTCCTGCACCTCGGCGTGGTACTGCTCCTCCTTTATCCGGAGCTGCTCGCAGCTCTTGTCGTGCAGCATGCAAGCGTTCCTGTGCTTTTCCTGCTCTTGCTTCAGGACAAACCTGCGAAAGTTTCCACACGCTGAACTCGCTGAACACAAACAAATCCAGGATGGCACCTTTCCCCGTCACTCAGAACAAACTCGTCAGATACAAAACACCAGAGTGAAGCAGCCGCTCACTTGAAGTTTTTCAGTTCAGTCTCCAAATCCACCTGCCGGTGCTCCAAGGTGGACTTAACGTCACGCGTCTCTTCCAGGACTTGCTTCAGGTTGGCCCGTTCTTCCTCCAGCTGAGAGACCTTATCCGACAGCCTGCTGCAGCGCCCTTTTTCCCTCTGGATAGTGCACTCGTACTCGTGGAACATGGTCTGCAGCTTCACCATGCTCACCGAGTCTGCGAGGACCAGGGTATCGTTTTGTGCAATGTCAGGGACTGATCAGAGAGTAGAAACACTGGGAAATCTGAGACACAGCTCATGGAGCAGCAAGAGGCATACTGACCGATGCAGGAGGAGTCCAGCTGCTGGATCAGCAGAGAAGCGTTGCGGAATCCCGACGTGGGGAGATCCGCCTCATCCGTGCCCGTGTCAGACGACTGAGTGAGATCATCAAAGTCATCCCCAATTTCCATCTCTTCAGGCACCTGCAACATTACAAACAACAGGCACCCAATTCCCATAATTTACTAAGTAATGGATTTGCAATAAATATGCAATGCAGATAGAAAAGTTTGATGATATCGGCAGGAGAGACTTCATATCTTCCTGGCTTTCGCTGGTCACGAGAGGTCATGTTTTTAAAGACGGATGTCACCTTACCTTTGTGCTCCCTGCAGTTATGAACCTGCAAGGACAACACAGCTGTCAGGTGGCCTGCATGCTCTGCTTCTTTCCTTCCACAATAAATTCCGTTATAAACTTCCCAAATTTTAATGAACAGAAAGCAGAGTTTACACTCAGGATCACCATCCTCACAGCATACTGTGCAAACAGCTCTGATAGCTCGCTCAAAGTGCCATCCTCAAACGGAGACAGGACTTCCAAAACCACAAAGCTTGCCGGTCTCTGGAAGGGCTGCGCATCTTCATCTATAGCAGCCCCTTAAGCCGAACTACAGGCCTCCCAGAAGCGATTATGACCTGGCTTGCAGAGCCAGGTGTTACCCTTAACCATAGTGATGCATATTACACTGAAAGGTCATTCTTACTGCATTCTTCAGTTAACATGGAATCAAAGTTGTATTTTTAGCCGTACTTTTTGTAACTTGCTCATATTTATCGCAATAGAGTTCAGTGTTGCTACAGTATTTAAATTCTGTTGTAAGCAAATTAGTTTAGCGGAAGATTACTAGGTGAGTAACAATTATAGTACTTGACTCTTTTCACACATTCATGGATTAAATGTTTTATACATCTAAGTCAATGAAAGGTACCACAGCAACATTAATAAGGGGGCGATGGGAACATGAAGGTACCTTTCGGCATATTTTGAGCCTAATCCTTGATTTAATCTAACTTCCTTTTCAGATGCAGGTTTGGTGCCTCTTTCACCCAGTTCTTCTTTTACATTTTCTCCCACAAAACTCCTGCTTGGTCCTTCAACACCCCTTAATGGACGATGGCGCTGGACAGCTGGCAGCTCTCTCTTCTCCTCACAAACCTGAAAGAACAAAGGAAATGAGGACAGAGCACAGTGGACTCAAACGCCATGCTGAGTAATATCAGCCTTTTCACTGACATGGTCCGACGCGCAAATCTGACAAAATTTAAAAATAAATTTATTTCATTCATTTATACAAATGTCTACTTAAAAAGTCAGCACAGGAAGATGTAACACTTTACTTGAGGGAGCACAAATAATGTAATAGTGCTATTACTTATGTAGTAACTAACCAGAAACTGAGTCTTAGTTACATGCTAACATTCATCATTAATGAATCATGACACGTCTTACCCCAAGCAATTACTTTATTTTAGTTACTATATCTGTTAATTCTGTAAGCCTTTGAGAAGTACTGAGGGAACAAGTACTGAACAACACAAATGAAACACCAATCATGTTTGTTCATCATTAATGAATTACGACGCATCTTTTATCTCAAGTATCTACTATATTTCTGCCCCCTCAAGTAAAGTGTCAAACATCAAACACTAAGTGACGTATATAATACACTAAAATGGCCCATTCGTTCTTAAGTGAATGATTCATATATGTTACATATGTACATATATATGTGCAATATAACAAAGCCAAAAGGACTGTACAGAAGATGGATCCTGTCTATACAATCATGAAGTAGAAATAAACACACAGTTAATATGGTAAAAATCCATTGCATGACATTGAGGGCACACATGCATCATGATTGGCGATTCAGTGAGGATATGAAGACAGAGGTTTCCAGTCGAAACGCTGAACATAAAGATGGTGGAGAGAGTATCAGAGTTGTACTTCATCCCTCTGAAATTTGATGAAAAGAACACACAGCACTACTAAAGAGAAATGCAAGAGTGGTCTGGAGAAAAGGGCAGGATGGCGTCTGCAGTCTCTACCAGGAGGCTCTCACACAGACAGCTGGAGAACAGAAAGGGGATGCACTCATGGGATGCAGTCTACTACCTCATTCTGCAGCTGGGCCTTCATCTCCAAATCCAGGAACACGGTCTTCAGCATCCCTACCTCATACTTGAATCTCTGCATATCCTCCTCAAGCGCTTCATCGGAGAGGCGCCTTGCGGCATCACTGAGACCTTTACTCTCCGCTTCAGTGTCTTCGTTCATCTTCTGTACTGTGACAGCGGCTTGACTCTCTCCCTTCGGCCCAAGGTCGCCGAGCCCTGTGCTCACATTGCAGCCATCGGCAGAGTCGCTGGGATCTCCGCAGGCATCACGCTCACGGCCTCCAAACTTTGCTGCCTCTTCTTGGCTCCCAAGCTGCTCTTCCTTCCCGATTTCCTCGCTAGAACGGGCAGCGATTTTTTCATTGCTGGGAACGTTCAGCGTGGGTTGGGGACTCTGGGAAGCACAGGGCTGAGAGTCTCTGGACCGCAGGCCTTCTGAGGGCTCAGTGAGGGAGTCCTCTAACCCAGGTTCTCTCTGTTCAGCAATGGGAACCAGAATCCTCTCACCACCCCAGTCCTTGCTGGACTCCACGGTGGCAGCAGCCTCAAACGCTCCCCTAGCATCCCTCCAACAAAGCTCCCCAAACTTCTCCTTCAGCTCTGCTGTTACGCTCCTGTAGTGAGACTTCACCTCCCTTTTCTCAGTCTCTACCCAGATTTTCTCATAGCGCTTTTCCCATGATGTATCAGTGTCTTCATCAGTCTCACCCCCATCCTCCTTCCGCTGAACGCTTTGTGTTTCACACACCACAGGACTGCTGTGGTACAGCTCACTCATACCGAACCCACTTTTATCTAATACAACTTTCCCCTTCAAAAGCATGAATAAAAAAGAACATTTGTTAACTCCATAATAGTGCTAACACTTAATCAAAAAAATGTTAAAAACTCATTATACACTTTTAAGGATTAATTAATAACTTTAATGCTATGTAAACCAATTTAAGCGATCAGGCATCAATGAACAATTGCCACAATGGCCCATTCATTTGTTGTAACGCACTTCACATACTCAGGGCTAAACAGGAGACTGATTGCTTAATATGCACATGAATATAAACAAACAGTCATTCTGTGTTCTCTAAACACATTCAAATAAAAATTAAGCCAAATAGCCCAACTCTTTCTTGTCTGTGTAGTCAAACCTTTGTTCTAGCAACATCCATCCATGCTTCCTACTCTGAGCGCCAAGAGATCATGAAGAACCCACCTTCTGCGGCTCCTCTGGTCCTGCGCTGAGACTATCCTCTGTGTCGTCTGCCACCGCCTCCGTCAGTGAGGCCTCTGGTTAGACATACAGGCCAGATCAGTTTGAAAGGAGACCAAAGGCATGCTATGTGCCGACTGATACAAAAACCTGTCTTCACCTTCTTCATTCTCTGTGGTTGCGGGCGTCTTCCGGGTGCGGGGCTGTGCCTGGGGCTTGACTTGGGCCTGCCGTGTGGAGTGGCCATTCGGGGGGGCCAGGTTCTGTGATGGAGCCTGGGCACTTTTTGTATTTTCGAAACTCCCTTCTGTTACGGATGTAGCAGGCTCTTCACCCCCACCGGCTGGTACGGCGGTCGAGGGAGGGCTGGCGATTGGTTCCTTCTCTGAGGCCAGTGGGTCAGGTTCATTAGGAGGGTCCTGCTTGATGACATCGTGGCTTTTGCTGGAGGAGCTGGAACTGTCCCAATCTGAAGGATCTGCAGAGGAATGCAGAGGCCACACTATGTCTGTACCCATCTCCAGGTTCCATGAAAACCTACTCGGTCAGTCAAACATGAGAAGAAACCCAGCCAGGTGACCTATAAGACAACTGACAATATTTGTGTATACATTTCCCATTTACTAAGTAAAACCACAGCACACAATACTACAATACAGGAAGCTGAAAGCACTGTAAAGATGGTATTTCTGTCTGACCTCCTTGCGTTTTCTGACTATCTTTTAAGGAAAAACACAAAACATAGAAAGCTGTCACACCAAAAAAATCTCAAATTTTTTTATGGAACAAATTAAATAACTTACCTTCAAGATCATCTACATCTCCCAATCCAAGTTCTTCCATTAAATCTGTAATACCAATATGCCCCGATTTACACTCATGCAAGAAGATATTAAACATGCATAATTGTCAATGTTTATGGATTCCTGTGTGCAGCGATGATTTTGTGAAATTACCGATTTTTACGTTAGTGTTGTCCATGGTTGTGGCCGATGTCTGCAATACATGCACTGGCTTAGTGTTCGATACACCAGGCTGAAAAAGAGAGATAATGTGTCTTTCACCCAATTTCTGTTATAGCATCCTTTTAGGTATTTTATTAAAATCTGAAAGTTAAGTTACCTTCCGTTGTAAATCATCGCAAGGACCATCTGAAGACAGATCACATGTAAGCATTAATGACTCGAGCTAACGATACGTTTAATAAGACTCAGTGCAGCCTCATGCAGATTAACACACACTGGACGTTTGAGGGCGACTCTGGAGGCTGAATGTGTCTGACGATGGCCGAGACTTGGCCTCTGTGAAGTATTCTCACCCCGACAATTAGGTCTCCTGGCCAGTCTAAACTCTCCAAAGGTCTCCAGAAAAGCTCTCCTACAGCTTCCTAGTTGTCGTTAGAATGAGTGAATGTGAAACAGATTTAGGAAGGGAAATTAAAACTTAAATGACTGGAAACCGGCCGAAGAACAGAGCTGTTTATTCATAGCATATTCAGCCCATATGCAGACACGGGTCAGTGACGAAAACACTGAGAAAAATACCTTCATTGCTCTTCTCAGGAATATTGGCCGTCTCTTCTTTGGGCGTCACAGGGGAATTAATGCCGACATGCAGTTTCCTTGGGCTGTCAGAGACAGGCTGTTTAAAGGAAAAAATAAAACAGCATGTGAATGTCAATAAATGTCACATCGCTGGTGTATTAACAACGACAGACAGTCCTTACAGAGTCCCAGGAGTCATCGTCTGTACGGTCCCCAAGACCCAACTCCGACAGAAAATCTGTGTGTGTGGAGGGGGAGGGAGAGACACATCAAAGGCTTCTGGTAATCTTTTCCCTGACAAAATGCACTTAGACTTTCCAATAAACACAACCAGGAAGATCTCAGCTTCTTCTGCTGACCTCTCTTCTGTGCTGGGAAGTCATTCCTCTCGCCGTCATCGTGCGAATGTTCACTGTGCAGCACTTTATCCTTAACCCGCCCTTGCTCCTCCTCTTTGCTCTCTTCATCTTCCTCCTCCTCCTCCTCACAATCTGCATCTGTGGAATCCTCTTCCTATTTGAAAAACAAAATGCATTGGGATTAATGAAGTGCAAAATTGTGTCAGACGTATACAAGTAAAATTTAACATATTGCCATATTGCTTAAATATTTAAATACTTTCTCTTATGCTCTCAGATGCAAGTCTAAAATTCATTTTTGACATGGAAGAATCATAAGCTTACCATGACGAAAATTCCCATCATTATGTTTTTATCAGGCTAATACACAGATGAAGGTAGGCCTCAAACTGTTCAAAATGCTCTCGGCTCATCTGAAAGACCCTGAATTAGTATTTTGATAGCCGTCTCACCTCCGGTGAGCAGGCCTTACACCCCCCAGCTTGTTCTGGAAGCACATCAAGCTTACAGTTACCAGTGGCTGTTTGAGACATACATTCTTCAACCGGAGGCCTAAGTTCCATCGTAGTCTAGGATACATATAAACCGGCCCCTACGTTCCAGTTTACAAACTGTTTCGATATATCACAGGGTTGGCATAAGAAATGAAATGGGAAGTTTTATGGGAGTTTCACACAAGCTGCAGTCGACATGCAGGAAGTTTAGTAACTCATAAATGCATTACATATGTGCAGAGCTGGTTTGGAGGACTATTGGTATAATTGAATAAGAGGTGATTTTTACTATTTTGTTATACTATTATTCTCATTTTTATCTTTTTTAAAATATTTCTATAATATTCTTCACTGACCTTCATATTCATGAGCAAATACCCATCCCAAATGGCATTTAAAAACACCCCAAAGAAAGAACTAATTCAAAAAATTTCAGACCTAAAATAAAGATTTCAAAAATGGAAAGGAGGAAGAGAAATGTGTTCAGGGCACGCTACCTTTCTGGATCTATGGAGCAGCGTGGATGTCCTCTGGGGTGGTTTGGAAAAGGGGGCGGGCGAAGGGGATGGTGGGGGCAGGGCGTTGCCCCTCAGGGGGGGTGAAGTCTCAGGGGGGGGCGAGTCCCTCTCGGCTCTGTCGTCATTCTCTGCGTCAGACTCGCGCTCACTCCAGGACTTGGAGTCTGCTGCAGCTACACAATCGTGCACGTTATATTCCAACCCACAAAACGGCGGAATATGAGTCTGCTGCAGCTACACAATCGTGCACGTTATATTCCAACCCACAAAACGGCGGAATATGAAAGTCTGCACTGTTTTGATAGTTACCTTTTTTTCTGCCCTTCTCCGAAGAGCTGATGAGCTTCTTCAGGTTCACCTTTTGTGCTTTCTGTGTGAACACAGCAAACAGATTAATTAGTAAACTAACAAGCCGGTTTGTGTCAGTGGATGATGCAACACAAAAGCTCGGCACCTTTGGGCTCAACTGTAAGCCATCATCTTCATCTGATGAAAGCCACGAATCTCCAGCAGCGGATTTAGATGCCCTAGAAAAATAATTTTTGATATACATCACAAGCACATGACATGGAGAAGCAAAATCATCAAAGCAAAAAAAATGTCATAAACGCATTTTCTCACCTACTGATGGATTCTACTTGTGAATTATCATCAACTGCAAAAAAAAAACAAAAATTCTGATGTTATCTATATGATGTGGGGCAAGAAATTCAAAACATACCACTAGAATCATTTTCAGATGAGATTACAGAACGCTGGGGCTAATCTGGGGCTAAATTTTGCTAATCATGTCAGTTTCAAAAAAAAGGAAACTAAGGATTTTTGGGAGAAGCTGCGAGTCCCAACAATGAGAATAACGAAGCCCAAACGCAGCTCTGCTCAACTGGATATGCCTCTGATGGCAAATATCTTACAGAAGCTCTACAACCATAATGGACAGGATGAATTAGATAATTTAAAAAGCTAGAAAAAGGCTGGCATATTGTATTCTCATTTAATATAAGTCAACAAACACCCAGTGTACAGGGCATGGTTTCCACTCTAGTACCCCTATATCTATGGCTCCTATTGTTTCCAATACCTTTCCCTGCTTCACTTGCTCCTGCAAGGTGCAGCTCTAGATCCAGCCAAGAGGATACGCGTGAGGGTTAGATGATACAAACAAATGGGGATTAACACTTAAAATGCAATGAGAAAAATAACACAATGCAAGCTCAGTATCATCCACTGCAATATAAATTAATTAAGCTAACTGCAAATTAATTGCAGTGGAGATAAGAACTTAGATTATTTGGCATTATTAAGCTAAATAAATAAATAAATAAACGAGAGCCTGCACTTACAGACGTGACAGCAGCTAAAACGTGACTGGGATGCCGAATGATGGAGATACACAGGGAGTAACAATTAAGTAAATAGAACTAACTTGAGCTGAACTGTCACACGGTTTCCATAGAAAAGAACTGATTATGTAAAGAAGTGATTATGTGCAGCATGAAAAAAAACAATCACAGTGAGGAACGGAGGCACATCTTGACTGTCTCTTACCATCTCTGTTAGAGGCTGGTCTCCCCAGGGAAAAAGCCGCCTCGCCCTCCCCCCCGGGGCTGCCCACCGGCCCCTGCTGCCCGCTCTGCCCAGGGAAAGAGGGCGACTGCTGGCACCTCCTCCTGGTCCCATGCTCTATTATCAAATGGGAACAACTGAAAAGCAAAAACAAACAGTTCTACAAAAGATCTGAGGTGCAACCAGCATGAAACATCTGGAAACTAATTTCTATGGCATAATCTGCGGGGGTGGCATGCAGCTTGGTGGGTTACAGAAGGTTGTGGGTTCAAATCCATGGTCAGCGGTGTAATCATATTGCCATTGGGCAGTGCCATGGGGGCTAGTACCCCCCCCCCCCCCCCAAGTTGGTAAATTTGTAGTATAAATTAAGCTAAATGCAAATTAATTGCAGTATAAAAGTACAACACAGAACAGAAGACATTGTTAAGCTGAACGCGACGTTTGTTTAAAAAAACACAACATGAGAGCGTGATCTTAGTGATGCAACATCAGCTGAAAGATGACTGCTTTGGCAAAACGTCCAGCACCTGCCCAAGCAAACAAAAGTACAGCACATGTCATCTTGTCTGATACTCACGCATGGTGCCCGTTAATAACCGCATAGTCATCAGATGTCCATCCTTTCTCATCCTTTACCGCTATATCTGCATTGTTCGCCAAAAGAAGGCGAATCATACTGATTTGTCCATTACAGGCAGCAATTATTAAGGATGTCCTAAAATGGGGAAATTATACAGTTTAGAAAAAAGAATTATAATGATTACATGCAGGGAGCAGACAGCATATAACACACAATATGTGGCCACTTCATTAGGTAAAGTAGCCTGGTACCAGGTAGAAACCCCCTTTTGCATAAAGAGTAGCCTGAATTCTTTGAGGCAAACATTCAACCAAGAGGGATCACTATTCCATTCCAATCATCACTATTCTATTCTGCATCGTACCATCCTCTGTAAACTCTTGACACTGTACTGTGTGGAAATCCCAGAATTGTGGGAATTTCTGAGGTGAGCCGAGACCATGTCTGGAACCATAACACATTCAAAAATGCTGAGATAATGCACATTTGCCATTCTTCAGCTTTACTGAACAGTACAGTAAGTGAACCACTTGACCCTGTCTGCGAGCTGTATGTATTGAATCGCACAAAAGCAAAACATGAAAGTGGCCAAGAACTATAAAGTTCCTGGTCGAGACGACCCAGGAACTAGGTTCCTGAACTTCGGTAGGAAAGCGCGTCGTATTTGCTGGTTCAGCTACAAAGCACGGCATTTCCACTTATATTAACTGGTAAAAAACGAAAGCCACTCAGCAACTAAATGTAGCATATGGAATGGGTCTAATTCAATTAATTATTCAGAGTATGCATTAAATTACAGCTTCACTGAAATCACACAAACCTTTTGCCTTGGTCCTTAGCATTCACATCAGCTCCTTCCTTAAGGAGAAACTCTACCATCTCAGTGTGATTTTCTGTTACTGCCAGGATCAGAGGAGTGCATCCATCCTGAAAGGAAAGCTAGTATTTAAAGCCATGTTCCACCCATGTGGGACTACATGCGTGTAAGGAGACCTTGTGGTACAGACCTTGTTATGGGCATTGATGTTGGCACCATGTTCCAGTAGCTGCGTACCCAAGGGCACTGACGGGATAAGGGCAGCCAGGTGCAGGGCTGTGTTCCCGTTGATGTCCACCAGGTTGGGGTCAGCACTGTGCTCCAGCAGGACGGTGGCACACGTCTCCAGCTGACACTGCACTGCCTGCCCACAAAGACCACATCAGCGTCCCTCGTCCAGGAATTCTCACGTTTAAACTCGGCTTCAGCTGAGAATTTCCCACCTCATCGGAATCTTATAACATAAAAATGGATCAACTGACCGTCTCACTGATTCAAAATCGATATTCCGATAGTTTACAAGTCACATTAATATTTTTAGCCATATAGTAATGTGATCTGCTGCATTTTATCAGAAACTCAGTTGTACGTGTATGGAGGGTAGTGTTTACATGTTCTCGTTTGTGGGTTTCCTGTAAGTACTCTGATTAGACTAAAATTAATGTATGTGAGCGTACTGAGATTCCAGTGCTGCACCCAATCCATACTCTCTTCATGTCTTATGTTTTACTCTCTGGATCAGCGTTTACTAACCCGGTCCTCAGCGACCCCCAGACAGTCTGTCCATGTGTTTGCTCTCTCCCAGCTCCCTACCAGACAGTCCACATTTTTGCTCTCTCCCAGCTCCCTACCAGACAGTCCACATTTTTGCTCCCTCCCACATTGTGGACAGTCTGGGGGTCTGGGACCAGGTTGGAAAACACTACAGGTCCAGGTTACCATAGTTAGATAAGTTAATATAGTTAAAGTTATGAAAATTCAATAGATATAAGTTATTATAATACAACAGATGAATGGCGGGACCAAAAATGAACTACTGTGTCAATAATTATTTTATATATTATTTCAATAACAGGTCAATTTAAAATGTAAAAAAAAAAGTCTTTGTCATCGCTTATTTGATATTTGATGTTTGTACCTTCATCAGTGGGGATCGGTTCTGATTGTCACATAAATTCAGCTTGGCTTTGTTTTCCACCAGGAACAGAACAACATCCGCATGCCCATATGCACAAGCAATATGCAGAGGAGTTCTGTGAAATAAGCATCCATTGTTATTTGATTAATTCTGAAAAGCAGTTGCATCACGCCGTCAATTTAATAAGATTAACAGTACAAGAAAATACTGATTCATGTGATACTTATATAATTCCTTGGTAAGACCCCACCTAGAATACTGTGTGCAGGTTTGGTCACCATACCTCAAGAAGGACATTGCTGCCTTAGAAAAGGTGCAACGAAGAGCTACGAGAATGATTCCTGGTCTTAGAGGAATGTCTTATGAGGAGAGGTTAGCTGAGCTGAATCTGTTTAGCCTTGAGCAAAGGAGACTAAGGGGGGACATGATTCAGGTCTATAAGATTCTAACAGGTCTGGATGCTGTTCAGCCAAATGACTATTTCAATATTAGTCTAAATACTAGAACTCGTGGCCATAAGTGGAAATTAGCGGGAGAACATTTTAAAACAAATTTGAGGAAGCACTTCTTTACACAGCGTGTAGTTAGAGTATGGAATAGTCTTCCTGCTAGTGTAGCGGAAGCTAAAACCATGGGTTCCTTTAAATCAGAACTAGATAAGATTTTAACAACTCTGAGCTATTAGTTAAGTTCTCCCCAAACGAGCTTGATGGGCCGAATGGCCTCCTCTCGTTTGTAAATTTCTTATGTTCTTATAATAATCAGATCAAGATTTGTGAAAGCGACTCATGACTCTCAATTATAAAAGAAGTCAAAATGGTAGAGAGCTCCTGCGGTCACAAGCATATTGCTGCCAATTGTATTCCACTGTTTTCCAAACTAGGACATGAGTGACAATTAAGAGTCACCCCCTTTCAATCTTAAGTAATAATGTAAGGTAGCCAAGTTTTGTATGTGCAATAAAAAACATAATAGATTCTAGTTAGTAATGCTTTGTATATGCTTCTGTAGCTTCCATCTGTGCAATAATCATTCAGCCCCTCAAATTTACAGAACACTATGCAGTACTGTAATCATCCCAATCAGGTTTGGATACCTGGTATATTTGACTTAAGTCTCTCCTACCTGTTCTCCTTATCCAGTTGGTTTAAATCATTCTTTTTTGCAAGCTGTTTCAGTTTGGTCAGGTCGCCCAGAGACGCAGCCTTATGAACCTTTCCCAAGTCTTTTTCCTTTATCTCATATCCTACTGATAAAATGCTCCCGGCATCAGACGAACTCGGAGAGAAACCTCTCCGTTTCTTGCTAAATTTGAGTATTTTCTTCATCATGCTCTCGTCTCCTTAAGCAGTCCAAGTCAATGGCGTCAAGATCATCGCAGGTATCATTTGCATTCCTAAAAAAGAAACACGTTTAAACCGATGAAGCTGCTTCAGGTGAACTCCGCATCCCAAATGCATCATAGATCGGTTCAACGTTTTCCAAGTCAACCAGTTGCACAGCAAGCCTAGCAGCTACCATGTCTCCGAGTACGTGAATTCGGCGCTTATAGAAGCATTTTGTGCCAAACGGTGCTCTGTTTTAAGGTATTCATCTTAAATTCAGTGTTACAAAAATAAGCATAAGGAAAGCAGCTCGCGCGTCTGACAACGAGTAACCAAGGCAACGAGTCGGCGGACTGCAGACGGACACCGCCGCCCGCGCGCATATAAACTCCTTAGCGGTGAATCCGGGCTTAAGAACAGCGTTAATGGGGGCAGCGTCGTCATTCACTGCATCTAACTAGCGGCACGACCGTTACTGAAAGACAACGTTAATCAAATTACCAAACACTGCTGGTACGGAGATGAACGATTCCGGGAGTTATTACCGGCTCACCATGCCGCGCAGTGGCAGAAGAGTTGCGGAAGCCGGTCAGAGGGCGGCGTGGCCCGTGTTAGAGCCGAGTCCGAGGATCGCAGCGCGGTAGGCGGTCTGGCGCGACCCGGAGCCGAGCCGATCGGCGCAGGCCCGCTCCGGAGAGTCTGGTGGCGCGGAGTCGGCGGCTCTACTCGCGGTGAGCGTTATAAATAAATGAAACTGATGTCCGTTTGGTTTAAGAAACAAGATTTGTGTGCATGTCATTTCGGAATAAATTACTGTACAAAAATAGACAATTTATTGTACTACTTATTAATTTCACAAACTTCTGAAACATCAGGAATCTTTAACAGTACTATACATCTACTCAACAGAAAAGATGAGGAGCGCCACGGCCTCAGGGTGTCGCTGTCAGGCGGAAGTTGCGGAGTCAGCTGACTGTTTATGTCCGCTTGTGGCTAAAGACGCGGCGCGAGTTTGCGGGGTGGGTGGGCTGCGTTAGATGAAAAAGCATTGGAGAAATACAATACATATGTAGTCATGTTTTCTTTCCCTGAGATCCCTTTTATAATTCATGCAGATTTTGTTTATATGTTAATCTATAATTTATCATTCTAATACACAAATTGAAGGGAATTCCGATGACAAATGACTGAGAGGTTGTTTTGATGATAGTTTAATAAGCAACTTATATTTATATAAACACTTTATGTGAAAAATATTTTTTTTATACGTGGTGGGGTCTGGAGACTCTCCCAGGCAGCAGAAGGCACCCAAAATCAAGGAAGTATTCATTTGGAAGGTCTCACATGTGACTCACATTCTTGAGTTTTTTCAATGAGATTTGCTCATATATCTCAATATTTACATTTAAAAACAAAACGAATATGTATATTTTTTGTTTTTAGAAAGCATTACGTTGTCTGCTGGTGTAGCAGTTAGCATGGTGTCAGTACTCAAACCTGTACATAGTACTGGTACCCTTTGTTTTTCTCTTCAGGGTACTGGGAACATTTCTTGCATACTGGAACCTCTCATAATCTGCCAGTAGTGGATAACAAGGTGAGAAACGCCACCTGATTTTATTCATACTTAAGGCACTGCTGCCACCTCCTAAGTGTGGGGTTTGTGCGCTTTTCTCCTTAAGTTCATCTAGCCAGGTGTATTGGATTCTCTGAATCGCTCTTACAGTATGATGGACTGGAATCCTATCCACAATGTCCTCGTTTGAAATAGATACATGGGACCATGTAATGGAATAGGCAGCAGTGGACGACGGATCAATGGATGGAATTTTCAAACAATAATTAATTATATATAATAATAATAATTAAATTTTAACAATATTTGCATAACATGTATTTGAATAGCAGTGCCTGACATCTCCAAGGTTGGGTCAGTTTGAGCCTCCAAATCAGCTTCCTGTTTGTGGAGTTACATCCGCTCCATGTTTGCTGGGGTTTCCTCTGGGTTCTCCTGCAATCCAAAAAAATCCATGTTTTTGTTTTGGTCAAAATTTGATCCTGTCAATGTCACATGTGTAATCAACCAATAAATAAATATGTGCAACTTGTTTTATTATGTTTCCAACATACAAAACAGACAAAACAGGTATCACCCTGAACCAGTCACTCCCAACTGCCAGTTCCTGCCCTTTGTTCCATGAATCAATTAGGAAAGGAGAAAATACACCACAGGAAACCAGTGGGACTTTAGGGTAATCTGGGGCTTAAACAGTTTACACTGTTCTCATTAGTTGACCCTTAAACCAGGTACTAAATAGGTACACTGCAAATACATAGGCAGAGTTGGGTAATTCAGGTCCAGAGAGTAAAAGTCCAGACCAAGATTTTGTTTCAACGAACCAGTTGAGCATAAAGAGTCACAGTTACAGAGTAATCAACTGGTTGGTTGAAATAAAATCCTGGTCTGGACTTATACTCTCTAGGCCTGAATTACCCAACTCTGCACATAGGCTGGCAGGGCAAACAGCTGACAATTCCATGAAAAGTAATAATTACAACATTAATTTGAATTTGATATATGAAACAAAGTGTGCAAAACTAAAAAAGCTTGAATGTGACAATACAGATGCTGATTAACAGAGCATTTGCAGCGACACAAACAATGCATTTGTTGTTTGGGTCCTGTGGTGGACTGGCATCCTGTCCAGGATGTTCTGCTTCTTACTACAGCTTTCAGTCCTGGTCCATGGAGGGTTGGTGAGGTCATCCCAAAAACCCACATCGGCCCTCCAAGGAGCAGGTTCCACACCCCTGCAGTACGGCTTAAGCAGTATGGGAGGTAGTTGAATGGGTGAACAAGCAGATGACTTGATTATGTTTGCTGGAACAGCTCCCAGCAGCAGACATCAGGATACAGTTAGTAAACTACAGACATCACTGCTTGCTTTGGAATAAAATTAGATGTTTCAGAAAGAGTTCCTGTACATAGTAAGCAGAGTCTATGATTTAACCAAATAACATCTTTTTGAAACTAAATCCAACATTCCCCCATGTTCTGATTTTAACACTAACTTAAATAACAGAAACACCTTTTCACGTTACCGACATGTTAAGCAACATTTGAGGGAGATTAATAGCTCCCCTTATTTAGACAATGTGAATCTGGGTTATGATTTACATTCCACCATTCTGTTCATAGGTTTTACATCAATAAGTGCGGTGAGATTCAGAACAAAAATGTCCAAGGTCTCCAGAGTCCTTCTCACATAGAGATAACGGAGAGGCTGCCTCTCAAGATCAAACACATTCACGATGCAGTGGGTCGAAAGACATGGAAATGCACCCAGAACCATTAGTTTACATGACTGCATAGGCAGGAGGCACAGGACGGTGAGGTGGGGTAGGAACGGGGTTCTAGGTGAGGAGACAGGCCACTTGGGCCTTGATCTCCGCATCAGGATGCGTCAGGAGTGGTGGCAGCCTGGCCTGGAGAGGGGAGCCCTCAGCCAGCAGTATGTGATACACAGAGTCCTTCCCACGATGAGAAGCTACAGCCTGGTCCAAAAAGCGCCAACCCTTGAGGTTCCTCACAAAGGTGAGCAGGCGCAGCAGGACGCCGGGGTGTGTGCTGCTGTCAAAGAGCAACACCAGGGAGGCTGGGGCCTGCAATTCATCACAGTGAAGGACAAAGTTATTCATACCAGCCATCACGAATGGTTTTTCAAAAAGAACGATGTATAGCAGTTTGCAAATCCCTACACATATTGAAATGGTTGCCTTCCATATTCAACAAAATATGCAAATTACATGACCTGGGGTCTTACTCATGGAAAAAGGATGTAAAGTGGGCTGGGCGATATGATGATATTTTTGGTAATCAGACTGTTTATTGTCTGACAGCGACTAACTGGTGATTATCGTCTTTGTCGGGGAAGTTGGCTTAGGCCACACATACAGCAAGATAATGGTATGATTTATGATTTGCCTTTCGGTTCATCCTTCTAGCAGACATTTCAGGCACAGTTTAAGAAAATTAAAAACATTTAATTTCACAAGCAGTGCCCATTGCAGTGATAAGATATTCACCATTCTTGTACGCTGGGAAGTTCTTCATCACATTACTGGCTTAAATGTTTATTTATGTAAGCAGCTAGAACGGTATCAGTCTCAGTGCAACTTCTTGGTGGGAATTTTGAGCTTCCCAACGTATGTGAATGGTCAAACGAGACAAGCGCTTCCCAGTTAATACCCTATCAAATTGTCGAAAAATTTGATAATCTGGCTATGAACTTCTCCTTTGCAGCTCCTTTCATTTATGGGGGGGGGGGGCTTCACATGCTATAGCCAAAACTAGAGACAAAAATAAAGAAACACTGATAATTATTAGAAGACTAGGCTAGTAATTAGCTTAAAAACCTTGGTGTGCAGACCATTCCATGCTGAAAAATAAAACGTCATGTCCCCTTCTGGGAAAAAATGATTTGTGCCATATTTTCATACACTGCTAAGACGACCCAAAACCCATGTTCTGTTCGCATATAAAAAAAAATGCCTAAATTAATGTACAACTCTGTATCATTCATCCCAATATTTTAAAATATCACTATCTTTTTAGATATCGCCCAGCCCTAGTGCCAAGTCTTACAGAGTATTTCAGGACAGGCCGTATTCATGTAAATCGTGTTTACCTGGGCTTGCATAATGTCCTCTATCAAATCTGGATTGGCAGATAAATTCACAAGCACTTTTGAAACCTGAGTCTGAACAGAAAAAGACAAATACTGCTTAAAAACCACTGTAGTTTACAAGCGATACCATTTTAAACATGTTTTTATTTCTCAAAAAACTCAAAAATCACCTCTGCAAAGAATATACCCATGAAGTAGTGTGTGTGTATATATATATACACACACACACACACACACACACACACACACACACACACACTGGCAGGTGGGTTTATTACCACATCAGCATAATTTAGCATGAGACGCTAGGCAATCATTGTCAACACCAGGCAATTAAATGCATAAATAAATACCTGTAATGATTCATTGCTCACAACCAGTAGTGATAAAAAGAGAGTAACTGAGTTTCTCATCAGATGTTGGTGGCAGTTTGTGACAGACAGATTGGTCAGTAATCTTAAGCAGGCCAACTGAAGTTCAGAGTTCACTGGTGACATTTCAATCAGATCCAAAACGTGGGACACGGACACCTGGGGTAGAGATCATGAAATGTCCATGTCACATACCTTGATATTTCATTTGGGAAGCTTACATTGTTTTCAGGTAAATACCTTCAAATGCTCTTGATTTCTGACATTCATGCTCAGATTGTTCAGCACATTCAAAGTCTGAACTCGGATTTCAGGCGATGGGTCAGACAACAAGCCGGCAATGATGTGAAGCCCGTCCAATTCTCGAATAAGATCCTAGATTTTTAAATAGAATTAGTTGAAATCATACAAACACCATTTGATTAATCAAATAAAAATAACAGCACAGTGCATAAAAGGTTCGTCTAAGTTAAGAGTATTGCTTTAAGAGAGAATTTGGAGAAAGTCTACAGCAGGGGTGGCCAATCTTATCTGCAAAGGGCTGGTGTGTATGCGGGTTTTCGCTGCAACTCCCTGATTAGATTACTAATTAGAGAACTGATTGGCTGAAGAGTCCTCACACCTGGGTTTGAACAGCTGACTTACAGGTTATCCCAACCGGCCCTTTGCGGATAAGATTGGCCACCCCTGGTCTACAGTATCTGATACTGAGGATAAGACAGCGCCCTCACCTGGTTCACGGAAAAGGCAGCAGCATTTCCTAACGTCACTAAGACTTGGGTTCTGTCAGAAGCACAGGCATCCATCTGGAGGAGTGACAGCAGCTTCTTTATGTGATGTGGCTCCAGGGGACCAGAAGATGTGGACAGCTCACCTGAAATGAGAAAATGAAAGAAAGTTAAAGTAACTCAGAGACAGGTCTAACTAGGCCTATAGAATTTCTGCTTACAAATCAACAATGCAAAATTTATTGGAAAAATGACAACTGACAAAAAAAAACCCTCAAATTTATGTCCTTACAGCAGTTCTCCAAAGGAAATTGTAACCAAACAAGCACATAGTGCACACCACAGCACATAGTGCACAACAACGAAATCTGTCCTCTGCATGTGACATTGTGACATAGCAGGGGGCAGCTAATTCAATTACAAGTGCGCTTCCCTAACTATTAGGCCTCCACTGCCCACATATTCACACCTATATACAGAGCTATCCGCGGTATCTGTGGCCTCACAAATCCTTTTAACAATCAAGCAGTAAATTAAAACACATAGGAGACCATGTTATGTGTTGTTATTATTATTATTATTATTATTAATAATAATAATATGAATATGAATAATTAGCACTACGTCGAAGATAAGATTCGAAACGCCCATCTTCAAATCATACGCACAGCGTCCTAACCCGCTAAACCACTTCACATCCCCAGGTGTACGAAACGAGAGTTAATATTGATAATGTACATCCATACTGTGGTCGAGATTATTACATTTGGTCAAGCACTAAATCCTTAAATAAAAGGCATTATAACAAGCACTAGCTGGAAAACCATAATATCCAATTCACACACGTTACATTCAAGTTACATTATATATAGCACGTATGTTTCCGTCGTACCTCGATCGCTCCCATTAAGCAGTGCCAGGCCGGACACCTTCGCCAGCAGCGACCCCGGCTGCAGCATCGCACTGCCGGCCGGATCTCGCTCAGACGGCCCCTGCTCGGGCACCTCGGCTCCCCTCACGCCGCTTTCCCTACTTCTCTCCTGCTGGGGAGCCATAACTGCTTTGTCGCCGGATCCCCACATGAGTTTGTATATCCCATATGACGCTCCGGCCCCGGCCACCAAGCCCAGCAAAGTCTTAATGCTGCACAGCCGGGCCGCGACTCCGTCATCTCCCATGCTCCCGGCGTGCTTCATGGAAGGATCGAGTGGGAATGGTAAAGAAAGCAGCTGAACGTTACACACCGACAGCAAAGCTTCATCTTTGAAAGTGTTACACCTCCGCTACCCAGTTTTTGTGTAACGGGTGGCTCTTCTTTGTCTTTTTCGGGATTTAATAGTACTTACGAAACCGTGACGCTTTACCACCATCTACAGTACGGGGGGGGGAACAACACGACACTAGCGATGGCAATGTACCGTTTTTTTTAAATAACGGTTGCTCCTGTCATTAGCATGAAGACTGAGGTGTAAAAGTAACGAAGTACAATTAGTTAATTACTGCATTAAAATAGTTTCTCTGGGTTTGGTCTTTACTTAAGTATTTCATGTTGTTGCAGTTTTTACTTTGACTTCGCTACATCTACGGCACACCGACTTTTTACTCCGATATATTTTGTGGTTTCGAGAACATCGCGATCTTTACTCAACCAATTTGGAAACAAAGATACTGCAACAAGAAATACATGCCAGAAGTATGCAGCGCACCTCAGTGGAGCAGCAAACAAGTGGAGTAAAGCAAGGGTCTTATGTTTGGTTTCAGCATTGGTATAGGGACTAAATCGGCTTAAATCCCCCCACACCCCAACATGACAGTACAGCCACACACAGCTCCGGCACCATCATGAAATTTGCGGATGACACGGTGTTGGCAGGTCTGATCTCCAAGGGGGATGCGATGGCGTACCTGCACAAGTTGGAAGAGATGTCTCTGCGGTGCCAGGCTAACAGCTTAGACCTGAATGTCTGTAAGACCAAGGAGATGGTTATGGAGTTCAAGAAGGAGTAACAGAGGAAGTACACACCTCTCCAGTGGAGAGGATTAGCAGCCACATGTACACATCTCTGAGGAGCTGACATGGACAACCCATTCGTCGGCCCTGGTGTAATAAGTAAGGCAGTGACCGTATCACCTAAGGCATCTGAGGAAACTCAAAATTTCATCTTCACTGGCAAAAACCTAGAGTGCTACTCGGAACATCACTGCCTGGAATGGCAGCTGCAGCTCCCAGGAGCATAGAGCTGACAGAGGGTGATATGGTGTGGACCGTGTGGTGAGCGAATCACCAGGACAAACCTGCCTGCCCTGCAGTTCATCTACATTCAGCGACGTAGGTCAGGGCATTAAATATTAGAGACACCTACCTCCGCAACTAGCACTTAAAATTTAGTTCTCATATTTTCTTATAATTTTGTATAATTAGTTTTATGTATTTTTATATATATATATTTCTATATTTTAGTATTTATTTTGAACTGTGTAATCCACCCAGTTCTAGATTGTTCTAATCCTCACAGACTGCAACAGTTAAGTCCTTCTCAGATTTTGTCAAAGAATGGGCTGATAGACGAAGAGAGATCCCATTATCCCTTAAATAAAAAAATATCTTTCCATTTCATGAAGCTCCTGGTGTACAGTTTTTGTGCCGGGGTTAATGCCAGAGGAAGTTTGTTACTCTGTAGTTTTTAGTCAACAGAGTGTTAGATGTGCCTCGATCAGAACTCGGCGACCCCGCTATTACTTCACGTGATCTGACACTTTACGTTCTGTTGTTCCTAAATGCTTCCACAAGGTGGCATCCTATGACAGTACCATGCTTGAATTCAATGAGCTCTTCAGAACTGCCCATTCTTTCACAAATGTTTGTAAACCTGACTGCATGGTTAGGTGCTTGATTTTATACACCTGTGGCAATGAGTATGACTGAATCACCCGAATTCAATGATCATGACGTGTGTTTCAGTACTTTTGTCCATATAGTGTATCTTAGGTAAAATCGCTGATGGAACAACTTAACTCTATCACAATTAGGCTAAATTAACATAGTGAAAATGAATGTACTTCCAAGGATCCTTTATCTGGATTGGATGCTCCCTTTATTTGAAGGAGGGTCTGGCTGCTGTTCCCTCTGCTACTTGCACGCTCTACCTCTGACGTCACGTGCAGTAGTGATGTGCCGGTGACGCTTTATGAAGCTTTCGAGGCATGTGTCATATTGTGTGTCATATTGTGCCAAAACATGACTTGAGTCTTCAAACCTCTTTTTCAAACATTGGGAGACACCCAGTGTGCTTCAAGAAGGCTTTGAACAATCTGAGAATGAAGTGTCTGCGTTTGCATTGAATGAATAATGACGCTGGTATGACAGCGTCTGATTGCTACTGTGATGACATGTGATTGGGAAAATGTCATCAGGTGGGTGTTTAGCGGTTCAGAGGATTAGCGGGGCTTAGATGTTAGATTTAACTTTCGGATGAAGTGATCTGCAAGGGACGTGCGAGAAGACCTTGTGTGCGGCGTGTTGTTTTTTTGTGTGTTTTTTTGGTGGGCATTCAGGATGCCGATGCCCACAGACTGAGCTCCAGACGCGCGGGAGGGTCTTGGCGGCTGCTGGAGAGGGGGAAGTTTGGTGGTTGTTTTAGTCTTGTTAAATGAATTGTGTGTGTGTGTGTGTGTGTGTGTGTGAGAGAGAGAGAGAGAGAGAGAGAGAGAGATAGAGAGTTGTATTCTTACAGCTAAGTTATAAAATCCTCAGAGATTAACTCGTGTGGGATCCAGCCATGTCCCTTTTATTACACATCATCAACAGCATACCGTCTTACACATAAGAACATAAGAACTATACAAACGAGAGGAGGCCATTCGGCCCATCGAGCTCGCTTGGGGAGAACTTTAATAGCTCAGAGTTGTTAAAATCTTATCTAGCTCTGATTTAAAGGAACCTAAGGATTCAGCTTGCACTACGTTATCAGGAAGACTATTCCATACTCTGACTACACGCTGTGTAAAGAAGTGCTTCCTTAAATCCAGTTTGAAATGTTCTCCCGCTAATTTCCACCTATGGCCACGAGTTCTTGTATTTGAACTAATGCTGAAGTAACTATTCGGTTGAACAGCATCCAAACCTGTTAGAATCTTATGGACCTGGATCATGTCCCCCCTCAGTCTCCTTTGCTTGAGGCTGAACAGATTTAGCTCAAATAACCTTTCCTCGTATGACATTCCTCTAAGACCAGGAATCATTCTTGTGGCCCTACGCTGCACCTTTTCTAAGGCCGCTATGTCCTTTTTAAAATATGGTGACCAAACCTGTACACAATATTCTAGGTGAGGTCTCACCAAGGAATTGTATAATCTTAGCATTACCTCCCTTGACTTAAACTCCACACACCTGGAGATATACCCCAACAGTAGGTCCCATAAAATACCTGTACTTTATATTTCTGCTCCCTACATGGAGTACCTTATATTTGTCTATGTTAAATTTCATCTGCCAGGTGTCAGCCCAGTCACTAATTAAATTAAGATCCCGCTGTAGCTGCTGAGCCGCTAGTTCAGTATCTGCTACACCACCCACCTTGGTGTCATCTGCAAATTTCACCAGTTTACTGTATATATTTGTGTCTATATCATTTATGTAAATTAGGAACAAAAGTGGTCCTAAAATTGAACCCTGCGGTACCCCACTATGAACGCAGGCCCACTGTGACATTGAGCCTCTTATAACTACTCGCTGCTTCCTATCCGTTAACCAGTTATCAATCCAGGTCGCTACAGTTTCTAAAATACCTGTCGCTTTGAGTTTAAGTGAGAGCCTCTTGTGGGGAACAACATCAAAAGCCTTTTGGAAATCTAAGTAGATGACATCATAGGCCTTCTTATCATCAACTTCCTGAGTAGCTTCCTCAAAAAACTCCAACAGATTTGTTAAACAGGATCTACCTCTCCTAAATCCATGCTGGCTATCCCTCAAAATGTTTACTTGCTTACCAATACAATACAACCAATCGATCCATGATCAACAGATCTCTACAATCAGTTACCAATACAATACAACCAATCAATCCATGATCAACAGATCTCTTCAGCAATCTGCTACATCCCCCTTTTTCAAAGTGTGAGAGTCATCTCATACTTAACTGAACCTGCAACAGCAAAGAAATAACACCTGTTGACAAACAGAAATCCTACTTATGGTGCTCAAACCTTAAGACGCATGAGGTGTTACATTTCAATCTTAAATTCTTTTTTTTTTTAGCTGTCATGCTTTAGACTGACTAAACAAAGAGATTAAACCTAAACTCCTAAAACACATACACATATACAGAGAGCTTTAACTTGACCCCTCCATGGGGCAAACCCCAAGCATCAACCCATCTCAAAGTCTCTGTACTTTGTTGGTAGTTTTACTTGTCTCCTGCTTCGTGTACTGCGAATGGAGGTAGCTGGAGAGGGGCCTTCATCTTCACCGGAGGGTGTATCCTGGTGGGATCTGTGACATTGAGTCCTCTCTTTGTGTACTCACTGGTTGCTCCAAGAGCCCAGCTTCATCTTCTGTTGTGAAGGCAAGAAGATGGACACTGACGCGGCAAGCTGTAAGTCCTGATTGTTTATTTACTTCTTTCCTTGGGAAGGTCAGAAGTACCCAGGGCAGAGCCCGAGAGCGTGGCTGACACTCAGGCGGCTCCCAAGTCGCAGGAAGATCGGCTTCGGTACAGATGAGGGAGAGGCGAAAAACAAGGTCGGGAATCCAGGCAGGGGCCGGGCGATCAGCGTCAGTCCAGAAAGAGGCAGAGGCGAAAAACACAGTCAAGGGTCCAGGCTGAGGTCAGGCGATCGGCGTCGGTCCAGAAAGGGGGCAGGCAGAAACTCGGAGTCTAGAAAACGTAGCGGAGGTCAGAACACAGGGAAACACACACCGGAAAAAACACTCGAACTCAGGGCAAAACATGAAGATCTCGC